AAAGCTCGCTTTCAAGTCGAGCTTCTCCACAGCTGTAGCTCGCACGAAGCAGTTACCAGCGATCGAGTCCCACGTCTCTTTCCACTTTTTACACGACTCTTTCAGGTGCGCATCGACGTATTTCTGCACCTCGACGCCAAAGTTGTTGCCGTCTTCGGCCTTGGGCACTTGTTGCTGGATCCAGAGTCACAGCAGCTAAAGCGCGCTCAAGAGCTGCGCGATCTCGCCGTCTGCGACTTTCATTATCGCCTACGGTAGAAACGCGGCCAACACGGCCTGTGCAAATCGTGCTTCTCTATTTTCGTCCAGCCAAGTACTCGGGAATGTGCACACGGATCGCAATGCGCTCGAGCAGATGAGGTCTACAATTTGATACCGAAGCCCCGGTCAATACTGATGACTATCTGCTGTATGTACGCAAGGGTGGGCAGCGCAGGCCACGTTTGAGGGCGACGACATGTACCGCATGGTCGACTACACTCAATCGCAATATCCAGCTCTCAGCCGAGTCGTACGGACGATCCGCTCCCCTTCTACTGCATCGACGGGGATTGATACATCGAGAACGTCCCTTTCTGAGTTAGACCCCGGATTGTTCTTCTACCTCTGCTACCTGCCCATTGTAGACGTGTGACAAGTTTCTGTGGGACTAGCGCACCAGCGAATATGACTCCGGATATTGTATTTCGAATGCGCTCCTAGTTTTATTCGCTATCGTTTGCGTTCTTTTTGGTCTCACTTCGATAGAAGGAGTCTGAGGCACGGCTTTGTTGCGTTCAGCTGTAGCCTCGATGATCGGTCATGTGTATGACCAGCTGACCGCAGGTCCTCACATTCTTGGATCATCTTGCCAGCATCGAGTGATTGTCCTGAAAAGTTAAGGTAAAGAGTGGTGACCCCTTTGTGATGTTGCATTTGAATCCATGGATAAGGGATGTTTGGTAAAGAGTTCCGTGACTTTTGAGCAGGTGTTACCACATTCATCAAGATTTTATGATTATAGGAATTTCAACCACGTTAACTAGTATTTTATTCTTTTACTAGCCATTATCGTTTCAGCCAGTTTTTTTACAGCTTTAGTATTTATCACCATTGCTCCACAAAGCAGGTTCTCTCTATGTAGAGTGGCTCGGCCAGGTTAAAAAATGCGATGGAAAATCGTGCAGGAGGACATTAGCTAGTCGCAGTATAGAAGTGAAGAGATCTGCATACACGATGCGCGCTCCGAAGCAGCAGTTGACAAAGGACCAGTTGTGTCAGATAGCGGTTTATTGCAATATCATCTCTTTTAGTAACATCCTTCTGCGAACCGAACTCAAGTAAATCTTGCGAGCCACATGAGAATAAGTTTATGGCGATCGACTCGTCTGGCAATTGTAGGCTAGAATAAAACCACGCTCCATCAGATCTTGCTAACACCAATCTTCTACTGCATACCAAGCAACGTCTGCTTCCAGCATATTCAGTCCTTTGCCCTTTGGCCAATTAATCAAAATTAGCACCTTCTGATCAGGCGCAGCAATAGATTCTGATCACCGCCTTGAGAAGGTCAATGGCTCGAGTATTGTATAATATTTGATTTGCTCCGTCTTTTTGCACACTTAAATGCCGAGGAGATTCTTACTCTTAGTACACGTCGCAGCAAGAAAAGGTCATTAGCTTTCGCATCATGTACAGTGCTAAATTCGTACGACCCTACGTCCACATCTGAGTCCATAATTCTTGGAAACCATCCTCCACGAAGGAACAAGATGACAAATAGCACAGGTGCACGAGACCATACATTCCCAAATTAAATTTAACGTCTATTAGCAAAGGATTACGAGTGATACAATTCAAGCTAAGGCTCGACGTGATAATCATAGCTCTACAGAATGCATACCGGCTCCTTCATGTTCGTCATTAGTTTTTTAATCATATAGAAATCCATACAATCTATAAACAGACAGCGTTCAGCAGACTTAAGACTTCATCATATCTAGATCAGTATTTGCCTGCCCAAATTAAATATAGTGATCTTGTCTCTTCTTAAGCTACGATTATTGCCGTACCGGAAAGCTGTCGGTTGCACTGTTCAAGGAACAACATGTCGACGCATGATGAGCATATGTCAATTTTCGTTGCCAGTACGCTATCCGTATCTAAATCTGCTTTGTGAATAAGCATGGAGCCAAATTTGTAATGAACTTGCCACTACCAGACCTCAGTTCAACTACAGTCATGTTACCACCCTAATTGCTACTACGACATGCAATATGCAGCTTCGACATATGAGTACGTTCAAGCCGATAGTCAACTAAACTTACCAATACCATACGAAAAAGGTTGTCGTAGCTGACAACTTATGCGAGCAAGAGATCTCCTCTACATAGGAACAACATCGCTAACTCGCAGCCGTACCTCACATTAGGTTGATTCAAACATTCCGATCTAAGAACCTTTTACTTTAGTGCTCTCTTCTTACCAACTGTGCCGCGCTATCGCTCTCCTTTGGGGCTCTTGGCTTCTAAGTATACTGAATAAACTCAATTTTAATCATTCAGTCACGGGCTAACATTATCCGAAAGCGTACTATAGATACGTTTGCTGCTTGCAGTTCTTAAGTATGTAGCAAGCTCGCCAAGATGCTTGTTTGCCACTCTTTTCGATGATCTTGCGAAAGCTTTTAAATGATAATCAAAACTTGACTTGTGTCGGTACCTGCCATTCATGTGTAGCCTTGTTTTCATCACACTTGCAATACTAAAGTTTGCATGCATGAAGGATTCGCGAGTAACTTTTTATTGCTGTACAGATGTGAATTTATAAAATAGTCTTAAAGATAGGGTATCGTTAGTATGGTCGATATTGGTTCTGATTCGCACAATATCACGTAATAGAATTGCCAGCTGTGTACTTGTACTCGTACGAGCTGGTGGGGGTAATAGTGCTGATAAAAGCTCGTAATAATACCGAATGATTCTTAATGAGCAGTAAGTTGTCTCAAGATTAAGATAAGCAAACCGATCAAGGATGTATATCAAACGTTTAAATCTACTCATACGTCGAACCATAGAGAATTCTAAAAATGGCCCGGATTATGATACAAATTCTTTGTAATGCTAAAGAAAGATTGAGCGTTCCCCAGCGGTGTCGTATCCGATTGAAGTCATGTTAGGTGATCACCAGCTTTGACGCCATTAGGATATTGAAAACAAGGAGTCAACTTATAAACAAGAAGTACAATTTTTGCCCTGAATACAGATCTTTTACAACGCCATTTTAGTATCTTTTAGTTCATGAATACCAACTACGTCGTAAATGTGGCCGAGTTATCGTTGTCGGTCCATATAGCAGACTAGCGTTTTTAATCAGACTATGCGGCAATACAGTATTTTGTTTTACTAAATACTGTGCTTCTCTGCCTTTCCATCATGTTCTGGTCTGTCCATATTTGACTTTTAGCCCATTGATATTCTACTTTTCTATCTCTCACTTGCCACAAATTACTTTCCGTGGCTGTAACGGGGCACCCTGAAGCTTGTACTGATGACAGTACAAGCTACTTATTCTGATGACAGAATAAGGCGGTGCCGCGTAACTTCACGTACACTCGTACGTGCAGAGGAAGACGGTAAGAAGAAACGAGTACATGGTTAAAGTAAAAAGTAGAACTGTATTTATAATAGTTAATGTCTGTTAATAAGCCACTGTTTATCCTCATCCTACTATGTCTAAATCTCACCACATATTGCGAGCGTCTGTCGTGGTGCGTCTTCGTTGGTTGATATAATGGCCTATATCAACCAATTAGGAACTACTCGTAAGTGCTACAGAATATTTGTCCTTATGACAATATTCTGATAATATAACTCTTATAGTTATATTCTATTAACAATTTCTTATAAATTGTTATGTAACGATTCAACCAGTTGCATCACTCCCCCCTTAACCATCAGTCACGTAAGTGACTGATTGACTGGACGGATACTCGTCCCAAATCATTTGGGACGGGGTTTGCACTTGTTGGTCCGAGTCTACAGTCCAACAATTCATCACATGGCTAATAAGCCCATGCGGTGCGCGAGCAAGGCCGCCGAGAGCGCGTCCGCGCGTCTCTGTGCGGACGCCGAAGCAGAAACCGCTGCGACCGATGTCTCATCGGTTTCTGAAGCGTCTCAGCCTGTGTCACCTGGTGATGCAGGCGCTCGTCATGAAGACACTCATGTCTTCACAGAGTATGAGCTCGGTGTCTCATACTCTCTTGATACGGAAGATGGATCTGTATCGACGGCGATCGAAACCAAGCCGCCTGCCAAGCGTGGCATGGATGATGCTATGCGTCGCAGCATCTTTGGTTCGTCTGACGAATCAGATGAACCATCGCCAAATCGAAGGCGCTCGAGATCGCAAGACTCGGGCGCTCACAGTGGTGTCGGTTCTCCTATTGACACCACTTCGCAGCGAGGTACCAGTACTTCTGTCGGCACGTCGCAGGAAGAGCGGGACCGCAACGTGTTGTGTCTCGCTCCCGAAAAGAAGGCATGGCTGTCTCCAAAGTCAGTCATGGATCGCTTGTCGGCGACGACAAGTGATCGCTATCGAACACGATTGTTGGATTCATCAAGGATCCATCACCTTGACCCCAGTGCAAAAAACTATCGCGCTGAAATGATTTATTCATCGATGCTTTCTTTAAACATCGATGGTACAGTGGGAATCACAAACGTGATGGTCCCTCACTGCTTCAAGCGTGGAACGCTTACATCCATAACCTTGAGGATGTAGGTCGTGACGTTTGGAACGACAAACTTATCAAAGCTCGTGATAAGTTTGAGAAGAGAACCCCGACAGGTGCACGCTACAATCTGCATCGTCTGTCTTTTCTGGGGAGACTCGTGCCCTTGTTGTGTAAACAACTCAGCGCGCGCAACTAAGGTGGCCTACCTCCTTACTAGCCCGTGGTGGCGCGTATGTATCTCTACTGAGATGTACGAAGGGATTGACAACCTGAAATCCCTTTACGACCGTGCCGCGTCGTACTGCTCAACCAGACCCAGTACGTCAATCATCAGTTGGGAGCGGGGCTCCCAAGTATCCCAGGACGGGGGATAACCACGCCACCGGACGAGGTAACTCGTCCGACGTCCGTTCACATCGCGGTGGTTTAACAGCCGCTCAATCAGATAGCGCTGGCCACCGCGAGAGTCCTTCAAAGGAGGTGGAGGAGGAGGGAAGACGCTCTCCTCACGATCGTGGGGAGGCGTGTGTTCCCGAGAGCTTCTTTGATCGCGTGACTCTTGCGTTGCGCGGCGACCTCGAGCATGCATGGGACAGGCGTCTTCAACTGGCGGTCACTGTCTTGAAGCATCGAGATGAGTTTGCTTTTGCTCAGCTTGAGAACGAGTGAGCTTTGACATCTCTTCGTGACGTGCTAAGGGTAGCTCGTGTGGATATTGACCGGTCTCGGGCTGAGATAACTGCTCTTCAGACCCTTGTCGATGCCCACCATCGGGAGCACAAGGCTCTCTGCGAGATGCTTGAGCGCAAGGGCGTTCTTCATCGGAAGAAGCAGCGGACTGATGGTACGGCTTAAGCCGACCAACGTAAAACGTGGGATGCGTTCGCATCTTACGGGGCAACTCGATCGTGTATGCATTGCCTAGGCGGTGCAATACACGAAATGGATCGATGTACTTGGGTAGGAGTTTACTACTACCCAAGTTAGTCACTACATGCTTTGGTAGGTTAACCGTAGACAGTAGGACCAAGTCACCTTTACTAAAATATAAAGTGTTTCCCTTCCATTCTTGTCAGCGTTTTGCTTCTGCTTATCCACCGCTTCGGCGATGGAGTCTTGCACAAAACAGACTACCGTTTCACGAGCCAGTGTGAATTCATCTGATGACTCGTTAGCTTCAGTGCGCTGTGAGTGCACTGCACCAACATCAATCTTTTCTTCAGTGAGGGCTTCCGCACTCTCACTGGCATCATCTTCTTCGATATCGATGTTATCAATATCGGCATCAAACGCAATGACCTCTTCGTCAGAGCGTGATGAGCGTGAACCAAATCGGTTTTTGCTCGCGCGAGTCCCTCCCCCCCTTAAACCAGAGTTACACTCTAGTAAGGTGGGTACACGCGGATGGCGCAAGCCATTCACGTAAAACGTGTATGTGTCGTGGACGCATGCACCGAGTTGTCAATGGCAAACTCTACCATGGGCAAGAACTCACTCCAACTCTTAAACGAGTGTACGTATCCTCGAAGTATCTCTTCGAGGACACGATTGGCGCGTTCCGTCTGACCATCTGACTCTGGATGATCAGATGTAGACATCTTCAAGCGCGTTCCGAGTGATTTGAACACGGAACGCCAGAAATCAGCAGTGAATCGTGGATCTCTGTCTGATACGAGTTCACGGGGCAACACATGAAGTCGTAAAATGGCGTCGATAAAGACACAAGCACAGCCACTTGCCGTGATTGACTCTGGTACAGCCACAAGGTGTACCATTTTGCTGAATCTGTCAGCAAATACGAGAATACTCGTATTCCCGCGTGCGTCTTTGGGTAACCCGAAGACAAAATCCATTGAGATGGATTCCCAGCACTCTGCCGGAACCGGTAGAGGCTGTAAAGGTGCACGCAGTGAAGGACTTGACTTCACTCGTTGACAGACTTCGCATGCGCGAACATACTTTCGCACAAACTGATACTGGCGGGGCCAGTAAAAGTCTCGACTCACCGTGAGATATGTTTTATCATGGCCACGATGTCCTCCTGTAGGAGCATCGTGATACTCGAACATGATCCGCAAAAGCAGATCAGTATCATCTGGGATGACAGCACGTGGTGTGTCACCAGTAACGGCTGTATAACACAGTAAACCGTTGAGAGTAGTGTATCGATATGATGCAAATCGATACGCAGACGATAATCGTTTCAACGATTCTCGAGATGGTTGTGAGAGATGTGTCAACAACTTCACAATCTTAACATCTTGGGCATACGCCCGCCTCACATCATCATGCAACGTTGAAGAAGGTACTGAGGACGTCATAACCGCAACAGTGACTGTCTCACTGTTGGGTTTCACGACTGGTTCAAAGTCGGGCCGACGTGGGAGTGCATCAGCGAGGACATTAAGTCGTCCTGGTTTGTACTCTACCGTAAAGTTGTATTCTGCAAAGAATGACAACTACCGCGCCATTCGTTATGAAAGGTGCGGGCTGTTTACTGCCGTGCGTAACGACGCATGGTCAGTGTAAACAATGAAGGGTCTATCTCCTAATAGATAGACTTTGAACTTCGCGAGTGCATACTTCATGGCAAGGAGTTCCTTGTCATGCACTGGATAGTTACGCTCAGCTGGTTGAATCTGACGCGACTGATAGCAGACGACGCGTTCAACGCCTTCAAGATCGTACTGCATTAGTGCAAAACCGATTGCGAAGTCGCTGGCATCACAGACCACATGAAATGGCCTGTCCTGATCGGCAATTGCTAGGACTGGGGATTGTATCAAGCTCTGCTTGATACCACCAAAGGAGCGCTGATATTTAGCGTTCCATAACCACCTCTTGTTCTATTTCAACAAACGAGAGAGGTGTACAGTCTTCTCGGCGTAATTGCGTGAATATCGTGCAAATACGCCGCTAGCCCGAGGAATTTTCGAAGACCTTTGACATCAACTGGCACAGGACAGTCGGTGATCGCCTTGATCTTTTCGGGATCAGGACGTACACCGTTCTTACCAACGATGCACCCAAGAAGTGGTATTTCGCTTGCTGCATATATACACTTCTTGAGACTGGCATGCAATTGATGCTTTCGCATGATTGTAAGAACCTGTCGGACGAGGTACCTGTGAACCTCAACGTCATACTTTCCATCCATAGCCCGACTATGGATGAATACGTCATCGAAATAACTCGGCGCGAATTCTCGTACTGGTCTCAACAGATGTGATACACATCTGTTGAACGTGGCAGGGGCATTACTAAGCCCTTGTGGCATTACTAGCCATTCCCAGAGCATGCCGCTAGGCGTGCTCACTGCGGTATAGGGTATGTCCCGTTCTCGCAAAAGGATTTGATAGAAGCCATCCATCAAATCCATGGACGAAAAGATGGTACTCTTTGACATACCATCAATGATTACGTCCTTCCTTGGTATCGGCGTCTGAGCCGGTACCGTTGCAGCATTCAACTTGTTGAACGCGTGCACTATCCGCCACCCTCCTGTTGCTTTTCGCAAACAGAAGGTCGGAGAGCTCTGTGGGGAAGTTGATTCCCTCACATGGCTCTCAGCTAAACGATCGGCAAAGAACTTGTCGATCGCAAGTACTTGTTCACGAGGCAGTGGCCACTGCTTCATGACACAGTACTTCGAGCCTGGTTTAAGGTCGAACTCGTGTCGAATACCTTTATCCTTCGGTAACTCGCACGGCACAGGTTCAGGGAATACATCCTTGAATCCAACCAAATCTTCATAGAGAGGATTTGTCTTGAGCGATTCCCACGATTGGGAGTCATATCGCTCAACTCGTGTCTTTTCATTGAGGACACTCTCGTCCATAGATGAACTACTGAGAACTCTCTCGTTCTCAGTGAACACAGTTGCTGATCTTATGTCGGCTACATACTCGTCGTCAGCGACGAGTACGCAGATCTGCTTGACTTTGCCACTACGCAGATCACGCAAGAACATTTTATGTTCGAGCGTTGGCAACTGAGTGATCTCCGAAGTCGACTTCGGAGGCGCAATCGGATCAAGTGTGTAAGCGCCTACGCTTGATCCATCATTGACTAGAACATTCAATGTCTCTGTCATTTCCTGGGGACTTATTCCGTCAGGCCTCGAAAGACTTATTTCTTCGGCTTCCCGGGGACTTATTCCCTCGGGTTTCGGTTAAAACTTATTTCCGCCGTATCTGTAATATCGGGACTTATTCCCTTAATTTCCTCCAGCTGTGGTTGCGCAACCACAGCGAGATCCTCTACGAAAGACTCTCCAGTCGATCTAGGATTATCGTTTCGCTTAACCTGAGCGATCGATTGTTTCTCTTCTAGATGTTCCCCGCTAGGGATACATCTTTATCCCGGTCCACTCGACTTATTCGAGTGGTGGACCTTCGGCGCAGCTTGTGTTTCCTCACAGCCGCCGGAACTTTGCTCCGAAGTGTAACCGTTTTTTACACTAAGGTTTCGTGCAGTCGTACTAACGACCGTACCACAAGTGATGTCATCGCACTCACTCGTAGTACATCCACACGCTTGTGGACGCCCCAAAACGTTCATCAGATGGCCATCTGATGAACAAGCGGCAGGCATCGTTACTGTTCGATGTTGCCAGTTTACCCGTGGTTCGTACCTCCTGAGCCACGGTATTCCAAGGATGACATCAAATTTGTCATCCAAATCCAATACGATAAAGTCATCTTCATATTGGGTATCTTCTAGCGTATAGTGAATCTTCACTAAACGCTTCATGACGGTTACGGATGCGCCTGTCGCAAGACGTACCGTCATCCTCTTAGGAGGTGTGTCACATTCACTAACTTGAAGTGACCATCTTCTAGCGATTGGCGTCGCACAAAATTGTAGGACGCCCCACAATCGAATAGAGCTCGAAGGGACAACTTATTTGTCACTTCGAGTTTCAAGGTAATGAGTGAGATCTCATTACCTAGAGCAGCAACGCACAATGTCTGTGTGTTGGAAGCAACCTTCGTCAAGAGGCATACAAATTCTCTTGACGTTGCTGGACCAGTAGGGTGCTCCGCACCTACTGATCCTGTCCAATTTTTGACGGTCCATCCCGTTGTTGCGTCTTTGCACCAACAGCGGACCCGCGTCCCTGCCCCTTTCTCATGGGTGGACGGTCATTACGTTCAGTGTTGTGATACACTGGACGAGGGGCACGACACTCGTAAGCGTAGTGTCCTGTCTTCTGACATCTGTTACATTTCTGCAACTTCTTGTTGTCTGTAGAGCGAGCCTTCTCGCTCTCTACATAACAGAGTTCCATCGGCTCTGGACCTCCGCTGTCATATCGTCTCGGTTGACGATATGATGTCGAGCTGGCGCGAGCCCGTCTCAGACTGAAGTCTTCCTGTTCCGCAATGGAAATGGCTTATTCTAGTGAATCTAGTTCAAGTCGGAACAGGTGAGTCTTGACGGGACCATCCGCAAGACCCTGCATAAACACCGAAACCAACGTGTGTTCATCCACCGGATTGGAACTTATACAGCTCGTGAGATGTCGTATATGTTGTGCGTAAGCGCGCACATCACGCTTACCCTGCTTGAGCTTCAAGAGTTCAGTTCTAGCTCTGAACTCAGCTCTAGGCGGTTCAAACGTTTGTCTGAGCCGCGACTTGAAGACTTCTAACGACCCAAACGCATATGGGTCGTGCAACTTGAGCCCCAGTGCCCAAGTCTTGGCACGTCCTGCCAGATTTGACTGGGCAAATGCAACTTGCATATCCCCGTCGTCGATGCGACGCGCCCTTATGGCGTCGTCTAATTCGACAAACCATCTCAAGAGGGAGTCCTCTTCGACTCCCCTATACTTGGAGATGTCAATCTTCAAGGTCTCGGGTCGACGCGAGTGCATCGACCCACCAGCAGCAGCCTGCTGCTGTCTCAACAGTTCAAACTGTTGAGCACCCTGTTCTCTTAACAAACTCTGCTTGTTGAGAACCTTGTTGGTGAAGCAAGGCTACTCTCTCGCGCAGCGTCAAGTTCATTTTGAATGAACTTGGCGATAGTAGCATGTTGGGCATCTCTATTGAGAGCCTCTAGCATGACGCTAACAGCATGGATGCCCACGGTTGAACCCATCCGTTCAACCGCATCCCATTCGACACCGCTCAAATGGGAGTAGCTGTCACGCGTAGTGTGAAAGCTTTGGTCATCATCATCATCTAACATATTCATGTTGGATGTGAACGTGGTCCTTGGACGGACTACGAAGTGCTACCAGGTGTAACGAGGCACCCTGAAGCTTGTACTGATGACAGTACAAGCTACTTATTCTGATGACAGAATAAGGCGGTGCCTCGGAACTTCACGTACACTCGTACGTGCAGAAGAAGACGGTAGGAATAAGCGAGTACTTGATTAAAGTAAAAAGTAGAACTGTATTTATAATAGTTAATGTCTGTTAATAAATCACTGTTTATCCTCATCTAACTATGTCTAAATACAAATGTGCATATCAACTATCTGCTCACCACTCATTGCGTGCGTCTGTCGTGGCGCGTCTTCGTTGGTTGATATAATGGCCTATATCAACCAATTAGGAACTACTCGTAAGTGCTGCAGAATATTTGTCCTTATGACAATATTCTGAGAATATAACTCTTATAGTTATAGTCTATTAACAATTTCTTATAAATTGTTATGTAACGGTTCACCCTGTTACATCTAATGCCTTAGGAAGGCCACTGAATTCAAGCTTAGCGCCATCCATGTCGTTGGCGACAGTCGCCTTATCATATGAAAGATGAGCACCAGGACGCCACCTACGGCTAGACATCTTCAGAATATATACCGTCAATGCGCCGCGCTGGCGGACCGCGTCCATGTTATCGCATGATCGAGTCATACAAGACATTTCAATCGAGCCGCCAACGGGATCGTGAACAGAGCGATGGACACAAGGAGGAGTGTTCAGGTAGAACGAGCTATAAGGACACCTTGACCTTCGGAGTGGCGGGAGATAACATCGTTTATTGAGGGCGACTTAAGTTATTGGCTGGACAACGCGAGCGCGGAACCTTCAAGTCCGGGTCTGGGGATCAGATCTACCTAAGCGGTACCCATTCGCGGTGTGCATTTGTGTGCATCTAGCTTAGATAGCTTACACAGCAGCAAGGGATGTGTACGCCTGCGCTGGACGGACATATTTCGGGTTTTTAGTTCTTAATTGCTAAATGACTGTGATGTACCTAACAAAAAATAGCTTCCCTGTGACCTTTTATTCTACAATAATAACACTTTTCGTTGAAGCTTCTTTTCCCCTTCGACTTCTTTTGCCCAGTAACGCTATTCTTCATGATCCCTGCTTCCATCAGGCTCCTTCTCAACACTGAAAAGAGATTCGATGACCTGCATCAGATCTAGGTTTAGAGTGTTTTTCAGGACACTAGCGATAACTTGGTATTCGCTGGTCAGACTTCCCACCAATTGTACAATTAGTTGTGTCTCATCCATTTCTACCCCAACCGACTCTAACTTGGTAACCAGCTCGGAGAATTAAGCGACACGATTCAGACAATTCGTGTCATCTTGCATCTTGAAGTTGTGCATTCTCTTTTTTTATCAATCGTGTTTTCAGCGTGTTTTGATTGCATTGTTTCTGGAGCGAGGTCCAAGCGCCCTTAGCACTAATAGTGTTTCGGATTTAGACTTGATACGACAAAATCACATCACTAGGAATCACTCCGAAAAGTGACTTCAGGTCGTCTTCCTTCCACTTAATAGTTAATCGATCACTTTAGGTACCATTCTCCGCACAGACGCTATGTGCAATCAAGCCTTCCGTGCAAGCTCCATACACATGTTATACTCGCAACGGAAGTAACTATCATCGCAGAGCTTGTCAATGTTTTACAAACGGACGGTACTACGTTCAATCAAGCTTAATTACATTTGGATGGTTTTGATAATCTAGTGTTATATTTCGTTCCCAAAGAGTCCGCTTGCGCACTGTTTCTCGTCTACACGCATCATCGCTGGTGTTGAGAGTTCATTGCCACTGTAAAGGGGTTAACCGTTACATAACAATTTATAAGAAATTGTTAATAGAATTTAACTATACGAGTTATATTCTCAGAATATTGTCATAAGGACAAATATTCTGTAGCACTTACGAGTAGTTCCTAATTGGTTGATATAGGCCATTATATCAACCAACGAAGACGCGCCACGACAGACGCACGCAATGAGTGGTGAGCAGATAGTTGATATGCACATTTGTATTTAGACGTAGTTAGATGAGGATAAACAGTGATTTATTAACAGACATTAACTATTATAAATACAGTTCTACTTTTTACTTTAATCAAGTACTCGCTTATTCCTACCGTCTTCCTCTGCACGTACGAGTGTACGTGAAGTTACGCGGCACCGCCTTATTCTGTCATCAGAATAAGTAGCTTGTACTGTCATCAGTACAAGCTTCAGGGTGCCCCGTTACACCTGGTAGCACTTCGTAGTCCGTCCAAGGACCACGTTCACATCCAACATGAATATGTTAGATGATGATGATGACCAAAGCTTTCACGCTACGCGTGACAGCTACTCCCATTTGAGCGGTGTCGAATGGGATGCGGTTGAACGGATGGGTTCAACCGTGGGCATCCATGCTGTTAGCGTCATGCTAGAGGCTCTCAATAGAGATGCCCAACATGCTACTATCGCCAAGTTCATTCAAAATGAACTTGACGCCGAACGCGAGAAAGTAGCCTTGCTTTACCAACAAGGTTCTCAACAAGCAGAGTTGTTGAGAGAACAGGGTGCTCAACAGTTTGAACTGTTGAGACAGCAGCAGGCTGCTGCTGGCGGGTCGATGCACTCGCGTCGACCCGAGACTTTGAAGATTGACATCTCCAAGTATAGGGGGACGTGCCAAGACTTGGGCACTGGGGCTCAAGTTGCACGACCCATATGCGTTTGGGTCGTTAGAAGTCTTCAAGTCGCGGCTCAGACAAACGTTTGAACCGCCTAAAGCTGAGTTCAGAGCTAGAACTGAACTCTTGAAGCTCAAACAGGGTAAGCGTGATGTGTACGCTTACGCACAACATATACGACATCTCACGAGCTGTATAAGTTCCAATCCGGTGGATGAACACACGTTGGTTTCGGTGTTCATGCAGGGTCTTGCGGATGGTCCCGTCAAGACTCACCTGTTCCGGCTTGAACTAGATTCACTAGAACAAGCCATTTCAATTGCGGAGCAGGAAGACTTCAGTCTGAGACAGGCTCGCGCCAGCTCGACATCATATCGTCAACCGAGACGATATGACAACGGAGGTCCAGAGCCGATGGAACTCTGTTATGTAGAGAGCGAGAAGGCTCGCTCTACAGGCTACAAGAAGTTGCAGAGATGCAACAGATGTCAAAAGACAGGACACTACGCTTACGAGTGTAGTGCCCCTCGTCCAGTGTCTCGCGACACTGGGCGTAGTGACCGTCCACCCATGATAAAGGGGCAGGGACGAGGGTCCGCAGTTGGTGCAAAGACGCAACAACGGGATGGACCGTCAAAAAACGGACAGGATCAGTAGGTGCGGAGCACCCTACTGGTCCAGCAACGTCAAGAGAATTTGTATGCCTCTTGACGAAGGTTGCTTCCAACACACAATTATTGTGCGTTGCAGCTATAGGTAATGAGATCTCACTCATTACCTTGAAACTCGAAGTGACGAATAAGTTGTCCCTTCGAGCTCTAGTCGATTGTGGGGCGTCCAACAGTTTTGTGCGACGCCAATCGCTAGAAGATGGTCACTTCAAGTTTAGTGAATGTGACACACCTCCTACGAGGATGACGGTACGTCTTGCGACAGGCGCATCCGTAACTGTCATGAAGCGTTTAGTGAAGATTCACTATACGCTAGAGGATACCCAATATGAAGATGACTTTATCGTATTGGATTTGGATGACAAATTTGATGTCATCCTTGGAATACCGTGGCTCAGGAGGTACGAACCACGGGTAAACTGGCAACATCGAACAGTAACGATGCCTGCCGCTTGTTCATCAGATGGCCATCTGATGAACGTTTTGGGGCGTCCACAAGCGTGTGGATGTACTACGAGTGAGTGCGATGACATCACTTGTGGTACGGTCGTTAGTACGACTGCACGAAACCTTAGTGTAAAAAACGGTTACACTTCGGAGCAAAGTTCCGGCGGCTGTGAGGAAACACAAGCTGCGCCGAAGGTCCACCACTCGAATAAGTCGAGTGGACCGGGATAAAGATGTATCCCTAGCGGGGAACATCTAGAAGAGAAACAATCGATCGCTCAGGTTAAGCGAAACGATAATCCTAGATCGACTGGAGAGTCTTTCGTAGAGGATCTCGCTGTGGTTGCGCAACCACAGCTGGAGGAAATTAAGGGGAATAAGTCCCGATATTACAGATACGGCGGAAATAAGTTTTAACCGAAACCCGAGGGAATAAGTCCCCGGGAAGCCGAAGAAATAAGTCTTTCGAGGCCTGACGGAATAAGTCCCCAGGAAATGACAGAGACATTGAATGTTCTAGTCAATGATGGATCAAGCGTAGGCGCTTACACACTTGATCCGATTGCGCCTCCGAAGTCGACTTCGGAGATCACTCAGTTGCCAACGCTCGAACATAAAATGTTCTTGCGTGATCTGCGTAGTGGCAAAGTCAAGCAGATCTGCGTACTCGTCGCTGACGACGAGTATGTAGCCGACATAAGATCAGCAACTGTGTTCACTGAGAACGAGAGAGTTCTCAGTAGTTCATCTATGGACGAGAGTGTCCTCGATGAAAAGACACGAGTTGAGCGATATGACTCCCAATCGTGGGAATCGCTCAAGACAAATCCTCTCTATGAAGATTTGGTTGGATTCAAGGATGTATTCCCTGAACCTGTGCCGTGCGAGTTACCGAAGGATAAAGGTATTCGACACGAGTTCGACCTTAAACCAGGCTCGAAGTACTGTGTCATGAAGCAGTGGTCACTGCCTCGTGAACAAGTACTTGCGATCGACAAGTTCTTTGCCGATCGTTTAGCTGAGGGCCATGTGAGGGAATCAACTTCCCCACAGAGCTCTCCGACCTTCTGTTTGCGAAAAGCAACAGGAGGGTGGCGGATAGTGCACGCGTTCAACAAGTTGAATGCTGCAACGATACCAACTCAGACGCCGATACCAAGGAAGGACGTAATCATTGATGGTATGTCAAAGAGTACCATCTTTTCGTCCATGGATTTGATGGATGGCTTCTATCAAATCCTTATGCGAGAACGGGACATACCCTATACCGCAGTGAGAACGCCTAGCGGCATGCTCTGGAAATGGCTAGTAATGCCACAAGGGCTTAGTAATGCCCCTGCCACGTTCAGCAGATGTGTATCACATCTGTTGAGACCAGTACGAGAATTCGCGCCGAGTTATTTCGATGACGTATTCATCCATAGTCGGGCTATGGATGGAAAGTATGACGTTGAGGTTCACAGATACCACGTCCGACAGGTTCTTACAATCATGCGAAAGCATCAATTGTATGCAAACCTCAAGAAGTGTATATATGCAGTAAGCGAAATACCACTTCTTGGGTGCATCGTTGGTAAGAACGGTGTATGTCCTGATCCCGAAAAGATCAAGGCGATCACCGACTGTCCTGTGCCAGTTGATGTCAAAGGTCTTCGAAAATTCCTCGGGCTAGCGGCGTATTTGCACGATATTCACGCAATTACGCCGAGATGACTGTACACCTCTCTCGTTTGTTGAAAAAGAACAAGAGGTGGTTATGGAACGCTAAATATCAGCGCTCCTTTGGTGGTATCAAGCAGAGCTTGATACAATCCCCAGTCCTAGCAATAGCCGATCAGGACAGGCCATTTCATGTGGTCTGTGATGCCAGCGACTTCGCAATCGGTTTTGCATTAATGCAGTACGATCTTGAAGGCGTTGAACGCGTCATCTACTATCAGTCGCGTCAGATTCAACCAGCTGAGCGGAACTATCCAGTGCATGACAAGGAACTCCTTGCCATGACGTATGCACTCGAGAAGTTCAGAGTCTATCTATTAGGAGATAGACCCTTCATTGTTTACACTGACCATGCGTCGTTACGCACGGCAGTAAACAGCCCGCAACTTTCATAACGAATGGCGCGGTGGTTGTCATTCTTTGCAGAATACAACTTTACGGTAGAGTACAAACCAGGACGACTTAATGTCCTCGCTGATGCACTCTCACGTCGGCCCGACTTTGAACCAGTCGTGAAACCCAACAGTGAGACAGTCACTGTTGCGGTTATGACGTCCTCAGTACCTTCTTCAACGTTTCATGATGATGTGAGGCGGGCGTATGCCCAAGATGTTAAGATTGTGAAGTTGTTGACACATCTCTCACAACCATCTCGAGAATCGTTGAAACGATTATCGTCTGCGTATCGATTTGCATCATATCGATACACTACTCTCAACGGTTTACTGTGTTATACAGTCGTTACTGGTGACACACCACGTGCTGTCATCCCAGATGATACTGATCTGCTTTTGCGGATCATGTTCGAGCATCACGATGCTCCTACAGGAGGACATCGTGGCCGTGATAAAACATATCTCACGGTGAGTCGAGACTTTTACTGGCCCCGCCAGTATCAGTTTGTGCGCAAGTATGTTCGCGCATGCGAAGTCTGTCAACGAGTGAAGTCAAGTCCTTCACTGCGTGCACCTTTACAGCCTCTACCGGTTCCGGCAGAGTGCTGGGAATCCATCTCAATGGATTTTGTCTTCGGGTTACCCAAAGACGCACGCGGGAATACGAGTATTCTCGTATTTGCTGACAGATTCAGCAAAATGGTACACCTTGTGGCTGTACCAGAGTCAATCACGGCAAGTGGCTGTGCTTGTGTCTTTATCGACGCCATTTTACGACTTCATGTGTTGCCCGTGAACTCGTATCAGACAGAGATCCACGATTCACTGCTGATTTCTGGCGTTCCGTGTTCAAAACACTCGGAACGCGCTTGAAGATGTCTACATCTGATCATCCAGAGTCAGATGGTCAGACGGAACGCGCCAATCGTGTCCTCGAAGAGATACTTCGAGGATACGTACACTCGTTTAAGAGTTGGAGTGAGTTCTTGCCCATGGTAGAGTTTGCCATTGACAACTCGGTGCATGCGTCCACGACACATACACGTTTTACGTGAATGGCTTGCGCCATCCGCGTGTACCCACCTTACTAGAGTGTAACTCTGGTTTAAGGGGGGGAGGGACTCGCGCGAGCAAAAACCGATTTGGTTCACGCTCATCACTCTCTGACGAAGAGGTCATTGCGTTTGATGCCGATATTGATAACATCGATATCGAAGAAGATGATGCCAGTGAGAGTGCGGAAGCCCTCACTGAAGAAAAGATTGATGTTGGTGCAGTGCACTCACAGCGCACTGAAGCTAACGAGTCATCAGATGAATTCACACTGGCTCGTGAAACGGTAGTCTGTTTTGTGCAAGACTCCATCGCCGAAGCGGTGGATAAGCAGAAGCAAAACGCTGACAAGAATGGAAGGGAAACACTTTATATTTTAGTAAAGGTGACTTGGTCCTACTGTCTACGGTTAACCTACCAAAGCATGTAGTGACTAACTTGGGTAGTAGTAAACTCCTACCCAAGTACATCGATCCATTTCGTGTATTGCACCGCCTAGGCAATGCATACACGATCGAGTTGCCCCGTAAGATGCGAACGCATCCCACGTTTTACGTTGGTCGGCTTAAGCCGTACCATCAGTCCGCTGCTTCTTCCGATGAAGAACGCCCTTGCGCTCAAGCATCTCGCAGAGAGCCTTGTGTTCCCGATGGTGGACGTCGACAAGGGTCTGAGGAGCAGTTATCTCATCCCGAGACTGATCAACATTCCGACGAGCTACCCTTAGCTCGTCACGCAGAGACGTCAGAGCTCTCTCGTTCTCAAGCTGAGCAAAAGCAAACTCATCTCGATGCCTCAAGACAGTGACCGCCAGTTGGAGACGCGTGTCCCGCTCATGTTCGAGATCGCTGCTTAACGCTTGGGTTACGCGATCAAAGAAGCTCTCGGGAACACACGCTTACCCACTATCGTGAGGAGAGCGTCTTCCCTCCTCCTCCACCTACATTGGAGGACTCTCGCGGTGGCCAGAAATATCTGGTTGAGCAGCTGTTGAACCACCGCGACGTGAACGGACGTCAGACGAGTTACCTCGTCCGGTGGCGTGGTTATCCCCCGTCCTGGGATACTTGGGAGCCCCGCTCCCAACTGATGATTGACGTACTGGGTCTGGTTGAGCAGTACGACGCGGCACGGTCGTAAAGGGATTTCAGGTTGTCAATCCCTTCGTACATCTCAGTAGAGATACATACGCGCCACCACGGGCTAGTAAGGAGGTAGGCCACCTTAGTTGCGCGCGCTGAGTTGTTTACACAACAAGGGCACGGGCCTACCCAGAAAAGACAGGGTAACCCACCCTCCTTAGACAGACGATGCAGATTGTAGCGTGCACCTGTCGGGGTTCTCTTCTCAAACTTATCACGAGCTTTGATAAGTTTGTCGTTCCAAACGTCACGACCTACATCCTCAAGGTTATGGATGTAAGCGTTCCACGCTTGAAGCAGTGAGGGACCATCACGTTTGTGATTCCCACTGTACCATCGATGTTTAAAGAAAGCATCGATGAATAAATCATTTCAGCGCGATAGTTTTTTGCACTGGGGTCAAGGTGATGGATCCTTGATGAATCCAACAATCGCGTTCGATAGCGATCACTTGTCGTCGCCGACAAGCGATCCATGACTGACTTTGGAGACAGCCATGCCTTCTTTTCGGGAGCGAGACACAACACGTTGCGGTCCCGCTCTTCCTGCGACGTGCCGACAGAAGTACTGGTACCTCGCTGCGAAGTGGTGTCAATAGGAGAACCGACACCACTGTGAGCGCCCGAGTCTTGCGATCTCGAGCGCCTTCGATTTGGCGATGGTTCATCTGATTCGTCAGACGAACCAAAGATGCTGCGACGCATAGCATCATCCATGCCACGCTTGGCAGGCGGCTTGGTTTCGATCGCCGTCGATACAGATCCATCTTCCGTATCAAGAGAGTATGAGACACCGAGCTCATACTCTGTGAAGACATGAGTGTCTTCATGACGAGCGCCTGCATCACCAGGTGACACAGGCTGAGACGCTTCAGAAACCGATGAGACATCGGTCGCAGTGGTTTCTGCTTCGGCGTCCGCACAGAGACGCGCGGACGCGCTCTCGGCGGCCTTGCTCGCGCACCGTATGGGCTTGTTAGCCATGTGATGAACTGTTGGACTGTAGACTCGGACCAACAAGTGCAAACCCCGTCCCAAATGATTTGGGACGAGTATCCGTCCAGTCAATCAGTCACTAAAGTGACTGATGGTTAAGGGGGGGGTGATGCAACGGGTTGAATCGTTACATAACAATTTATAAGAAATTGTTAATAGACTATAACTATAAGAGTTATATTCTCATAATATTGTCATAAGGACAATATTCTGCAGCACTTACGAGTAGTCCCTAATTGGTTGATATAGGCCATTATATCAACCAACGAAGACGCGCCACTACAGACGCTCGCAATATGTGGTGAGCAGATAGTTGATATGCACATTTGTATTTAGACATAGTAGGATGAGGATAAACAGTGGCTTATTAACAGACATTAACTATTATAAATACAGTTCTACTTTTTACTTTAACCAAGTACTCGCTTCTTCTCACCGTCTTCTTCTGCACGTACGAGTGTACGTGAAGTTCCGAGGCGCCGCCTTATTCTGTCATCGGAACAAGTAGCTTGTACTGTTACCAGTACAAGCTTCAGGGTGCCCCGTTACAGTACCAGCTGCTTATTCCGATGACAGAATAAGGCGGCGCCTCGGAACTTCACGTACACTCGTACGTGCAGAAGAAGACGGTGAGAAGAAGCGAGTCTTGGTTAAAGTAAAAGTAGAACTGTATTTATAATAGTTAATGTCTGTTAATAAGTTAACTGTCTATCTCTACTATATCCAAATACAAATGTGCAGATCAACTATCTGCTCACCTATGCATATTGGGACGAGGGTCGGTGGTGGGGAGTGTTTTCGTTGGGTGAAAAAATGGCCTATATCAACCAAATAGGGACTACTCGTAAGTGCTGCAGAATATTGTCCTTATGACAATATTATGAGAATATAACTCTTATAGTTATAGTCTATTAACAATTTCTTATAAATTGTTATGTAACGATTCAACCCGTTGTCCCCCCACCATCACCCCTTTATCAGTCACTGATAGTGACTGGAGGGATGATCTCGTCCCAAATCATTTGGGACGGGGTTTGCATTGTTGTTCCGAGTCTACAGTCCAACAGTTCATCACATGGCTAACAAGCCCATAGCCGCGCGCGGCCCCCGAGAGCGCGCCCCCGCGTCTCTGTGCGGACGCCGAAGCAGAAACCGCTGCGACCGATGTCTCATCGGTTTCTGCAGTGTCTCAGCCTGTGTCACCTGGTGATGCAGGTGATCGTCATGAAGACACTCATGTCTTCAAAGTATATGAGCTCGGTGTCTCATCATCTTGATACGGAAGATGGATCTGTATCGACGGCGATCGAAACCAAGCCGCCTGCCAAGCGTGGCATGGATGATGCTATGCGTCGCAGCATCTTTGGTTCGTCTGACGAATCAGATGAACCATCGCCAAATCGAAGGCGCTCGAGATCGCAAATGGGGGGCTCGCTGGGGTGTCGGTTCTCCTATTGACATCACTCTGTCGCGAGGTACTATGTACTCTGCGCACGTCGTAGGGAGCGGGACCGAAACGTGTTGTGTCCCGCCCCAAAAGAAGGCATGGCTGTCTCCAAAGTCAGTCATGGGTCGCTTGTCGGCGACGACAAGTGATCGCTATCGAACGCGATTGTTGGATTCATCAAGGATCCATCACCTTGACCCCAGTGCAAAAAACTATCGCGCTGAAATGATTTATTCATCGATGCTTTCTTTAAACATCGATGGTACAGTGGGAATCACAAACGTGATGGTCCCTCACTGCTTCAAGCGTGGAACGCTTACATCCATAACCTTGAGGATGTAGGTCGTGACGTTTGGAACGACAAACTTATCAAAGCTCGTGATAAGTTTGAGAAGAGAACCCCGACAGGTGCACGCTACAATCTGCATCGTCTGTTCAGGGGGGGGGGGTTACCCTGTTTTTTCTGGGTAGGCCCGTGCCCTTGTTGTGTAAACAACTCAGCGCGCGCAACTAAGGTGGCCTACCTCCTTACTAGCCCGTGGTGGCGCGTATGTATCTCTACTGAGATGTACGAAGGGATTGACAACCTGAAATCCCTTTACGACCGTGCCGCGTCGTACTGCTCAACCAGACCCAGTACGTCAATCATCAGTTGGGAGCGGGGCTCCCAAGTATCCCAGGACGGGGGATAACCACGCCACCGGACGAGGTAACTCGTCTGACGTCCGTTCACGTCACGGTGGTTCAACAGCTGCTCAACCAGATATTTCTGGCCACCGCGAGAGTCCTCCAATGTAGGTGGAGGAGGAGGGAAGACGCTCTCCTCACGATAGTGGGTAAGCGTGTGTTCCCGAGAGCTTCTTTGATCGCGTAACCCAAGCGTTAAGCAGCGATCTCGAACATGAGCGGGACACGCGTCTCCAACTGGCGGTCACTGTCTTGAGGCATCGAGATGAGTTTGCTTTTGCTCAGCTTGAGAACGAGAGAGCTCTGACGTCTCTGCGTGACGAGCTAAGGGTAGCTCGTCGGAATGTTGATCAGTCTCGGGATGAGATAACTGCTCCTCAGACCCTTGTCGACGTCCACCATCGGGAACACAAGGCTCTCTGCGAGATGCTTGAGCGCAAGGGCGTTCTTCATCGGAAGAAGCAGCGGACTGATGGTACGGCTTAAGCCGACCAACGTAAAACGTGGGATGCGTTCGCATCTTACGGGGCAACTCGATCGTGTATGCATTGCCTAGGCGGTGCAATACACGAAATGGGCCGATGTACTTGGGTAGAAGTTTACTACTTCCCACGTTAGTCATTACATGCTTTGGTAGATTAACCGTAGACAGTAGGACCAAGTCACCTTTACTAAAATAAAAATGTGTTTGCCCTTCCATTCTTGTCAGCGTTTTGCTTTTGCTTATCCAACGCTTCAGCGATGGAGTCTTGCACAAAACGGACTACCGTTTCACGAGCCAGTATGAACTCATCTGATGACTTGTTAGCTTCAGTGCGCTGTGAGTGCACTGCAGAAACATCAATCTTTTCTTCTGTGAGGGCTTCCTCGCACTCACTGGCATCATATTTGCCGATATCGATGTTACCGATATCGGCATCAAACGCAATGACCTCTTCGTCAGAGCGTGATGAGCGTGAACCAAATCGGTTTTGCTCGCGCGAGTCCCTCCCCCCCTTAAACCAGAGTTACACTCTAGTAAGTTGGGTACACGCGGATGGCGTAAGCTATTAAAACGGTGTATGTGTCGTGGACGCATGCACCGAGTTGTCAATGGCAAACTCTACCATGGGTAAGAACTCACTCCAACTCTTAAACGAGTGTACGTATCCTCGAAGTATCTCTTCGAGGACACGGTTGGCACGTTCCGTCTGACCATCTGAATCTGGATGATCAGATGTCGACATCTTCAAGCGCGTTCCGAGTGTTTTGAACACGGAACGCCAGAAATCAGCAGTGAATCGTGGATCTCTGTCTGATACGAGTTCACGGGGCAACCCATGAAGTCGGAAGATGGTGTCAATAAAGACACAAGCACAGCCACTTGCTGTGATTGACTCTGGTACAGCCACAAGGTGTACCATTTTGCTGAATCTGTCAACAAATACGAGAATACCCGTATTCCCGCGTGCGCCTTTGGGTAACCCGAAGACGAAATCCATTGAGATGGATTCCCAGCACTCTGCAGGAACTGGTAGAGGCTGTAAAGGTGCACGCAGTGAAGGACTTGACTTCACTCGTTGACAGACTTCGTATGCGCGAACATACTTGCGCACAAACTGATACTGGCGGGGCCAGTAAAAGTCTCGACTCACCGTGAGATATGTTTTATCACGGCCACGATGTCCTCCTGTAAGAGCATCGTGATACTCGAACATGATCCGCAAAAGCAGATCAGTATCATCTGGGATGACAGCACGTGGTGTGTCACCAGTAACGACTGTATAACACAGTAAACCGTTGAGAGTAGTGTATCGATATGATGCAAATCGATACGCAGACGATAATCGTTTCAACGATTCTCGAGATGGTTGTGAGAGATGTGTCAACAACTTCACAATCTTAACATCTTGGGCATACGCCCGCCTCACATCATCATGCAACGTTGAAGAAGGTACTGAGGACGTCATAACCGCAACAGTGACTGTCTCACTGTTGGGTTTCACGACTGGTTCAAAGTCGGGCCGACGTGAGAGTGCATCAGCGAGGACATTAAGTCGTCCTGGTTTGTACTCTACCGTAAAGTTGTATTCTGCAAAGAATGACAACTACCGCGCTATTCGTTATGAAAGGTGCGGGCTGTTTACTGCCGTGCGTAATGACGCATGGTCAGTGTAAACAATGAAGGGTCTATCTCCTAATAGATAGACTCTGAACTTCGCGAGTGCATACTTCATGGCAAGGAGTTCCTTGTCATGCACTGGATAGTTTCGCTCAGCTGGTTTCAGCTGACGCGACTGATAGCAGACGACGCGTTCAACGCCTTCAAGATCGTACTGCATTAATGCACAGCCGATTGCGAAATCGCTGGCATCACAGACCACATGAAATGGCCTGTCCTGATCGGCTATTGCTAGGACTGGGGATTGTATCAAGCTCTGCTTGATACCCTCAAAGGAGGGCTGACATTCAGCGTTCCATAACCACCTCTCGTTCTTTTTCAACAAACGAGAGAGGTGTACAGTCATCTCGGCGTAATTGCGTGAATATCGTGCAAATACGCCGCTAGCCCGAGGAATTTTCGAAGACCTTTGACATCAACTGGCACAGGACAGTCGGTGATCGCCTTGATCTTTTCGGGATCAGGACATACACCGTTCTTACCAACGATGCACCCAAGAAGTGGTATTTCGCTTACTGCATATATACACTTCTTGAGGTTTGCATACAATTGATGCTTTCGCATGATTGTAAGAACCTGTCGGACGTGGCATCTGTGAACCTCAACGTCATACTTTCCATCCATAGCCCGACTATGGATGAATACGTCATCGACATAACTCGGCGCGAATTCTCGTACTGGTCTCAACAGATGTGATACACATCTGCTGAACGTGGCAGGGGCATTACTAAGCCCTTGTGGCATTACTAGCCATTTCCAGAGCATGCCGCTAGGCGTTCTCACTGCGGTATAGGGTATGTCCCGTTCTCGCATAAGGATTTGATAGAAGCCATCCATCAAATCCATGGACGAAAAGATGGTACTCTTTGACATACCATCAATGATTACGTCCTTCCTTGGTATCGGCGTCTGAGTTGGTATCGTTGCAGCATTCAACTTGTTGAACGCGTGCACTATCCACCACCCTCCTGTTGCTTTTCGCACACAGAAGGTCGGAGAGCTATATGGGGAAGTTGATTCCCTCACATGGCCCGCAGCTAAACGATCGGCAAAGAACTTGTCGATCGCAAGTACTTGTTCATGAAGCAGTGACCACTGCTTCATGACACAGTACTTCGAGCCTGGTTTAAGGTCGACCTCGTGTCGAATACCTTTATCCTTCGGTAACTCGCACGGCACAGGTTCAGGGAATACATCCTTGAATCCAACCAAATCTTCATAGAGAGGATTTGTCTTCAGCGATTCCCACGATTGGGAGTCATATCGCTCAACTCGTGTCTTTTCATCGAGGACACTCTCGTCCATAGATGAACTACTGAGAACTCTCTCGTTCTCAGTGAACACAGTTGCTGATCTTATGTCGGCTACATACTCTTCGTCAGCAACGAGTACGCAGATCTGCTTGACTTTGCCACTACGCAGATCACACAAGAACATTTTATCTTCGGGCGTTGGTAACTGAGTGATCTCCGAAGTCAACTTCGGAGGCGCAATCGGATCAAGTGTGTAAGCGCCTACGCTTGATTCGTTATGGACTAGGACATTCAATGTCTCTGTCATTTCCTGGGGACTTATTCCGTCAGGCCTCGAAGGACTTATTTCTTCGGCTTTCCGGGGACTTATTCCCTCGGGTTTCGGTTAAAACTTATTTCCGCCGTATCTGTAATATCGGGACTTATTCCCTTAATTTCCTCTAGCTGTGGTTGCGCAACCACAGCGAGATCCTCTACGAAAGACTCTCCAGTCGATCTAGGATTATCGTTTCGCTTAACCTGAGCGATCGATTGTTTCTCTTCTAGATGTTCCCCGCTAGGGATACATCTTTATCCCGGTCCACTCGACTTATTCGAGTGGTGGACCTTCGGCGCAGCCTGTGTTTCCTCACAGCCGCCGGAACTTTGCTCCGAAGTGTAACCGTTTGTCACACTAAGGTTTTGTGCAGTCGTACTAACGACCGTACCACAAGTGATGTCATCGCACTCACTCGTAGTACATCCACACGCTTGTGGACGCCCCAAAACGTTCATCAGATGGCCATCTGATGAACAAGCGGCAGGCATCGTTACTGTTCGATGTTGCCAGTTTACCCGTGGTTCGTACCTCCTGAGCCACGGTATTCCAAGGATGACATCAAATTTGTCATCCAAATCCAATACGATAAAGTCATCTTCATATTGGGTATCCTCTAGCGTATAGTGAATCTTCACTAAACGCTTCATGACAGTTACGGATGCGCCTGTCGCAAGACGTACCGTCATCCTCGTAGGAGGTGTGTCACATTCACTAAACTTGAAGTGACCATCTTCTAGCGATTGGCGTCGCACAAAACTGTTGGACGCCCTACAATCGACTAGAGCTCGAAGGGACAACTTATTTGTCACTTCGAGTTTCAAGGTAATGAGTGAGATCTCATTACCTATAGCTGCAACGCACAATAATTGTGTGTTGGAAGCAACCTTCGTCAAGAGGCATACAAATTCTCTTGACGTTGCTGGACCAGTAGGGTGCTCCGCACCTACTGATCCTGTCCGTTTTTGACGGTCCATCCCGTTGTTGCGTCTTTGCACCAATAGCGGACCCGCGTCCCTGCCCCTTTCTCATGGGTGGACGGTCATTACGTTCAGTGTTGTGATACACTGGACGAGGGGCACGACACTCGTAAGCGTAGTTTCCTGTCTTTTGACATCTGTTGCATTTCTGCAGCTTCTTGTAGTCTGTAGAGCGATCCTTCTCGCTCTCTACATAACAGAGTTCCATCGGCTCTGGACCTCCGTTTTCATATCGTCTCGGTTGACGATATGATGTCGAGCTGGCGCGAGCCCGTCTCAGACTGAAGTCTTCCTGTTCCGCAATGGAAATGGCTTGTTCTAGTGAATCTAGTTCAAGTCGGAACAGGTGAGTCTTGACGGGACCATCCGCAAGACCCTGCATAAACACCGAAACCAACGTGTGTTCATCCACCGGATTGGAACTTATACAGCTCGTGAGATGTCGTATATGTTGTGCGTAAGCGTACACATCACGCTTACCCTGTTTGAGCTTCAAGAGTTCAGTTCTAGCTCTGAACTCAGCTCTAGGCGGTTCAAACGTTTGTCTGAGCCGCGACTTGAAGACTTCTAACGACCCAAACGCATATGGGTCGTGCAACTTGAGCCCCAAAGCCCAAGTCTTGGCACGTCCTGCCAGATTTGACTGGTCAAATGCAACTTGCATATACCCGTCGTCGATGCGACGCGCCCTTATGACGTCGTCTAATTCGACAAACCATCTCAAGAGGGAGTCCTCTTCGACTCCCCTATACTTGGAGGTGTCAATCTTCAAGGTCTCGGGTCGACGCGAGTGCATCGACCCACCAGCAGCAGCCTGCTGCTGTCTCAACAGTTCAAACTGTTGAACACCCTGTTCTCTTAACAACTCTGCTTGTTGAGAACATTGTTGGTAAAGCAAGGCTACTTTCTCGCGTTCGGCGTCAAGTTCATTTTGAATGAACTTGGCGATAGTAGCATGTTGGGCATCTCTATTGAGAGCCTCTAGCATGACGCTAACAGCATGGATGCCCGCGGTTGAACCCATCCGTTCAACCGCATCCCATTCGACACCGCTCAAATGGGAGTAGCTGTCACGCGTAGCGTGAAAGCTTTGGTCATCATCATCATCTAACATATTCATGTTGGATGTGAACGTGGTCCTTGGACGGACTACGAAGTGCTACCAGGTGTAACGGGGCACCCTGAAGCTTGTACTGATGACAGTACAAGCTACTTATTCTGATGACAGAATAAGGCGGTGCCTCGGAACTTCACGTACACTCGTACGTGCAGAGGAAGACGGTAGGAATAAGCGAGTACTTGATTAAAGTAAAAAGTAGAACTGTATTTATAATAGTTAATGTCTGCAATAAATCACTGTTTATCCTCATCCTACTATGTCTAAATACAAATGTGCATATCAACTATCTGCTCACCACTCATTGCGTGCGTCTGTCGTGGCGCGTCTTCGTTGGTTGATATAATGGCCTATATCAACCAATTAGGAACTACTCGTAAGTGCTGCAGAATATTGTCCTTATGACAATATTCTGAGAATATAACTCTTATAGTTATAGTCTATTAACAATTTCTTATAAATTGTTATGTAACGATTCACCCCGTTACATGTACTGTCATCAGTACAAGCATCAGGGTGCCCTGTTACAGGTCTTGTACTTCGAAACACTAAGTAAATAGACACATGAGCCTCTCTCAGAATGATGGATAGCCGATCCCGGTAGTGAGGCAGTAAGCAGAAACACAATCCCCGAGTCCTTTTATCACAGCGCTACCGACTTCCTCGACACGTCTACCCACTCTCGTATGAGCGAACTAGAGCACTTTCGCTAGTAGTTTGTCACTGCGCGTGTCCGCCTGAAAGCCATATGATGGGTCATAGAGATAGGCAGCAAATGACGAGAACTCAATTTGAAGAATACACAAGATACAGCCCTGCTTCATAAACTTCTCTGTGCTCCGTTGAATCTATTTCGCTGTATGTGTAAGCGTTGTTTGTTCCGAGCGTTGTGACAGTAGCCACCGCCTTCGAGTAGAACGCAGAACAACGAGGAACGGCGGATGGTAAGATATGAGCTACGCATTGGTCCTCCTCAGGTAGCAGTTTTTCAGCTCCAGATGGAACGGCGCATGACTCGTTTTGAACCAATGCAGCGACTTGGCGTCGTCGCACACTCATGTGCCGCCATAAAACCAAAGAATTTCTTGGTCCTTCGACGATGCTCGTTTCCAACCGTCAGACGGTAAGACCAACTCACCATGACTAAATCACACCACTGGACGAAAAAAACCTATCGCAAGGATCAAGTAACCGCATCGTACCTGACCCATATGTACCTCATGTTAGTGCGCCTTGAGGCATTCTACATAACACAATAATACGCAGATTAGTCGTCCAGTGCTGCCCACGTGCACGTTTCTGTACCAACAAGACACTTCCCTCCACTCATCTCAACAACTCCCAACTCACCACAATCAAGCACCTGCTTCTTCGTTGTTTTGAGTCACTAGATTGTTAAAACATATTAAACCCCGCACGATCGTTCTTCCCGCGCGGCAGCTCAATCTTCTCCTTGTTCTTCGAGATGACGTCGTCCGTCACGGCATATTGGTCCCGCACGCCCTCGAGTGCACGCACCAAGTTCACGTACCACTTGACATCGAGCTCGACCACTGCCGCCAGCGCATCAGCCGCCACTTGGCTCCCCGTGTGGCTCTGTTTCTCCACTTTAGCCGTCACGCTCTTCTCCTCGTCGCCGTCTTTGCCGCCCTTGGACGACGTGACGGTCGTCGTCGTGCTCGACTCGGAGCTCGCTTTCATGTTGAGCTTCTCAACAGCAGTAGCTCGCAATGAGCAGTACTCGGCGAGCGAGTCCCACGTCTTTTGCCACTTCTCGTGCGACTCTTTCAAGTGCACATAGGCGTATTTCTGCACCTCGACGCCAAAGTTGTTGCCGTCTTCGACCTTGGGCACCTGTAGCTGGATCCAGAGCTGCAGGAGCTGAAGCGCGCTCAAGAGCTGCGCGATCTCGTCGCCCACGACAGTCACAAGCCCCTGCACGTCGGTGTTCGAGCCCACGGCAGAAGGCGCAGCCAGCACAGCTTGGGCGAACCTCACGCGCAACTTGGAGGGTACACGCTCGCTCACGTGCTGCTGCAGTAGCGTCTGGATGTGCGTCGCGCGTTGCGATAGCGTGGAGAGGAGCACGGCGCCAGAGGCCACGACAGTCGTCGAGTACGAGGAGCTCATGGGATCCGAGAGAGAAAAGGATCCTGAGGACTCGTCGCTTGTGGCTTCGAGATCTTTTTCACGACTGAGCAACGTGGAAGCAGACGGAGGTCGGTGCGCAGCCTTCGATTGGTTGAAAAAGACACGAGCACATTGCATCGTTCATTGGTGGAAAAGCAGAACCGCACAGCACCTGGGTGCTGGCATGCGACATGTGACGCCACTCAATTGTTTCATAATCAAACTTGTGCGGCTACGTCAACATGATCCTCAACACGACCGTTGCCGGAATACACTTGGCTCGAGGCTGCAACGGTGATCAGTGACGCACTGTCCACAGGCTCCTTGAGGCCAAGCGCCTGACGAGCTTCTGCCATGATAAACACGCTGCCGCACACTACGACCACCTCGTCGTCCGTAGACGCACGCGACGCGGCCACAGCAGCATCTACGCCGTCCTTGATACTTGAGATCGCAACGCGCTTGCACTTCTCCGTGTTCACATTGCTGGATTGTATCAAGGCCTGGCTGATGTCGTCCAGCAACGCCCCACGGGGATGGTTCGCTTTGACAAAGTGCATGTGCTGTTGGAGCTCCTCGTCGCTCTTGTGCGGGTGGCTGCGGCGGATGACAGCCGTGATATGTTCCAGCATCTTGGTAATGTCCTTGTCAGCCGAGAAACCACATACGAATCGAAATGTTTTGTCGGGAAAACGCTTGTGCAGCAAACGTACCAATCTGTCGATAGCGTGCGGGTTGTGCGCCACGTCCAGCACTACGGTGACCTTGCGTTCCTTCGAGTTTGCACGCATGACATGCAGCACTTGAAAGCGGCAGGGGGGCCGACACTCTAGGGCTGCGCTCACGCGCTTGTCACTCAGGTCAACACACAGCTTTGAACGGGCAGTAGTACCAGGCTGGGAACCACAAAGAGCATTGAGCTGTGCACAGGCTTCACGGGCAATAGCCGCGTTCTCAACATTATAGTCTTCGCTCGAATCTGCAACGGGCGGCACTCGCACCAGCGCAGCATTATTTCGCGTCGCGTACTCCATCGTTACATTCATGGGTACATTAGGACCTACGACAACCGGTACGTTGGGTTTGATAATACCAGCCTTTTCACGTGCAATGGCGTCAAGATCATTGCCCAAAATGCGGACGTGGTCGAGACCGATCGACGTGATCACAGACAGTACGGGATTGACAATATTGGTCGAGTCCAGGCGACCACCAAGACCCGTCTCCAGAACCACACAGTCCACATCTTGCCGAGCAAAGTACCGGAACGCCAGCATCGTCGTGATCTCAAAGAACGTGGCTGGGATCCTCAACTGTGCGCTCAAGTTAAAGATCTCGGACAACAGCTCACTCACTTCGCTCTCGGTAATGAGCGACCCATTGATCTGCACGCGCTCTCGGAAGCATGCAACGTGCGGGGACACAAACAGCCCCGTCTTGTAGCCCGAGCGCTCGAGCGCTTTCGCAACTTTGAGCGCCACCGACCCTTTGCCATTGGTCCCTGCTACGTGGACCACCTCTAGCTGCGACGCAGGATCTCCAAAGGCTGCATTCAGCTGCTGCATGTTCTCAAGTCCGAGCTTTACCGCCGTAAAGCGATTCACTTGGTACAGTCGTTGCAAGAGCATCTCGTACGTGCCAGACGTTGCGTCCTGGCCACGTCCTGGTCTTGCCACGTTCTCTTCCACGCTCCAACTGTCGTGATGGCTCTTCCGTCGCACTGGATGCTGCGACATGAACCGCGCAGTGTCCAATAGCAGCGAATTCGTACCTGCTGAAGTCGTGAGGACATTGTAAGAGCTTGGAAGTGGCGGCTCAGAGCGAGCAAACGCCGCAGGTTGTGGCGACTGTCGGAACTGGGCACGACTTAATCGTGTATACGAGCGCAGCCGGTGCCAGTGCGCGGTGCTTGAGCCATGAGCGCAAGTCCTGCGTGACGCCATGAGGAACTGATGGAAAATGAGCGGAGCTTTTGGTAGAAACCCGCGTGTGTGTACCGTATTCAGGGTACAAGTAGGAGGAGTATTTCGGATAAACAGCTGGAGCCCTTGAAGTACACGGAAGGGTTTCACGTCGCGTCCGACGTGAGAAGGAAAGCATTGACTTGGCGTTTGTAACGAGCGCAGAAACGAGACTATGGGCTTTCGAGACTGGGGTCGGTAAACGGTCCGATTGGATGCTGGCGAGCGTCACTACGAGCACTCGAAAGAGTGACGCTGCAGCTACTTCACATGCGCGTAAACATGACCACTGACGAGGTCCACCCGGTACTGCCGCTACTTTTCCTGCAGCGTACGTAATTACGGAAGCATCGCATACGAATTTAAACGGTATGTGATGAAGTAACATCACGTCCTGTGTTTATAGATCTGCGTGATGTTGGAGGTGCAGCTATCGCGGATTTGCTGCAGCGAGCCACGACTTTAGAAGAGAAGACAGAGCTGCTAATTGCTACTTCAGAAAAGCATACTGAGCTAGAGACAGTGGCGAGTGCTGTTTACGAGCGCACGTGGGAGAAACTGCACTGTGGCAGCTGGAAGGACGTGCTGCCTGTATGGCGTCAAGCTTTTGGACTCGCGAGTGTATTGCAGGCGAGGAGTCTGCTTCGATGCCAGCAATTCCTAGACTGTCTTAGGACGCTGGATATGGTGCGATCTCAATGGCTCTTTTCTCCATTAGCTTAGTAGTATCGACTGATTGACATTGTTGCAATCATTTGGTGCCACTGCAATGGTGCTGTTTTTGCAGTGTCTGATGATGGCAGGGCCTTTTGCTCCATCTGAGACACACAAGCTTCTTGCTGGCGTCGAGCAGCAGCTAGAAGAACAAACTCCGGTACGTTTTTGCTGCGATTTTAGTTTCGGGCCAAGTTTTGCTCGGTTGCAGCTGTCAATCTTGCAAAGATACGATGAGATTCTCGTTGTTTGGGGTCTTTTTGCTCACTTGTGTTGCTCTGCTGGATGCTGTAGAGAAAGGAGGAAGTGCGACGTATCAAGGTGCGAGACAGGCTGCGCTGTTGCTACTATGGGTACGAGGTGATAACAGAAAGCGTCGTGCTTGTGTTGTTTTTTTTGAGTAAATAGAAACCGCGGCTAGAAAAGCGTGTGTTGTGCGCTGCACATGATGCGAAGGAGCAGAAAGTGAAGTTATCGTTTCCTCTTCAAGAAGTGAAGACGCCAACACTCGATGAATTCCGCCATCATGTAATGATGCAAACGTAAGCTGTACTGACTGAGTTGCTTGATCGAAATCGCTGTCTTTAATGAAGACACGTTGTGCTTGTAGTAAGCCAGTGATTATCACGGGAGCAATGGAGTTCTGGCCGGCGCTAGGGCGAGCAGCTGGACCCGATCGAGCGTGGAAAAACGAGGAGTATATACGCCGAGTCGCAGGCTTGCGAACAGTACCCGTTGAGGTCCGGTAGTGTAATAGTTTGTGTAAGTTTGTTTTCGCATAACCTTTGCGGCTCATTTTGTTTGATTTGAACGCAACACCGATCAGGTGGGGTCAAGCTACATTGGTGACGATTGGGGGCAGGAGCTGATGACCATAAACGAGTTTCTGGATCGGCACATTGTTCCACAGCTTGGGAACAATGGCACTGATAGTGGCATTCCTGGAAGTCAAGCTGCACCATCCAACAAGCTAGGGTACCTGGCTCAGCACCGCCTTTTTGACCAGGTTTGCACTGATCTTTTCACCAACGGTGGGGATGATAATCACTAACGCTTGGTCGGTGTGGCTGGGTTTTGTAACAGATTCCGGTGCTAGGACGAGACATTGTCACCCCGGACTATTGCACCGTGCAACGTGCAGATCATAGCAACGATGGAGAGGACGAAGACATCACGATAAACTGTTGGTTCGGTCCCGGGGGGACTGTTTCACCGTTGCATTTTGACCGCAAAGACAACCTACTGTGCCAAGTCGTTGGTGTCAAGTATGTGCGACTCTATGCTCCAGAAGAGAGCGAGAGACTCTACGCAATGGAAGGTTTGCTGTCGAACACGAGTCAAGTGCAAGTGGAAAATCCGGACAACAACAAGTTCCCCAAGTTTTGCCACGCGAAGTACGTCGAGTGCATTTTATCGGAGGGTGAGATGCTCTACATTCCTCCCAAGTACTGGCATTATGTGAAGTCTCTCTCCACTAGCTTTTCTGTAAGCTTTTGGTGGTCATAGCACAAGCAGGAGGTGACATGTGCTATCGCTGCGGAAGTAACAGATGTATGCTCGAAAGTGACGCGTCGATCGTAGGATCACGTCTGGATGTCGACAAAATGACACTTGGAAGCTACAAGAAAGAAGCAATCCATGAAAGTACTGGTCTCATGGCGCACAGCGCTGCTGACCTGGGCGAGTTACGACTCCACACTCGCTGAGATGCTGCCTGTAAACAAGGATGAAGTGGTCTGTCTGATTGAGGCATGCCACGTGATTCATTGATATGCCTCCTCCTGGGCCAACCATCATCGAGCCATGACAAGGGGGTAGCCACCCAGAAGGATAAAGTTTGCGCCTCAACTTGGCTGCAAGTGTCAGAACCAGACTGTCGTATACGTGCAGTCGACTGGGTGGCGGACAAGAATTCCACGTGGTCCGACGATACGTCGCTTGAAGCTCCTGCAATCATGAAAATGGCCGAGCGGCGTTCTGGTACCATTGGAACTACTGCAGAGCTAGCCATTCTTAGCTGACCTCCGTGTGACCGCACATACGTAACCAAACCAGTTCTGGATGACGTACCACCACTTGGAGTTTATCCATGTTCCGACTCCTTGTGTGTGACGCTACACTCCGCGCCAGGTCATATCGAACACCCGTACTTTATCCACTGCTCAGTCAGTTTTACGAGTTAACGGGTGCTATTTAGACATGTAGTGTCGTTGCTGATTTTACGGCAGGCATCTATCGTATCAAAATGCGGTCTGCTCGTTGTGCAGTCTGAGCATGCTCACATCTGAGCTGGTCACATTGGTAAGCGCTTGCTACATAGAGTTTCGTCCGGACGCACAGTTTTGCACACAGAAGTGGTCACTGTTTGGATCACATTTGAGGCGAGGCATTTGTTTTGCGCATGCGAAATCACTTGTATAAGTTGACGTTTCTAAACATCGGTATTTCTGTCGTCAAGTGTTAAATAGAGGCCTATCTATTTTAAAACACATGGACATGTCACAACCTGACGTCACATTCCAGATAATGGGTTTGGATGCACTTCAACTTGAGACCGAAAAGCAGCATAAAAGAACAACATTGCAACATGACGGCGCAATGTCAACGATATGGCACTCTTACTTCTGTTAATTCCTGTTTCCGTTTACGATCCTACTCAAGCATGACTCATGGGAGCTAATATTACAAGAAAATCAAAACCATCGCGAGCGACGACTGCGACACACCTGACAAACGAATCCGCGGTGGTCACGTAGACGCAGCAGTTGCTTCAAAAACCAAAAGCACTCGCATCTTGCTTGCCCTTATCAACTTCGTCGAAGAAGCCCAATATAACCGGCAAAAGGCCGCTACGATCGACCGTTGGACGGTTCTTGGGACCCTTCAGGTACTGGATAAAGTGGCCCATACTGTGCTTGGCGTACTCCAAGTCATTTTTCCGGATTTGATCAAACGTGTCCGAGAACGACGGAAACACGCTCATGATCAGCAGCATCTCGCCCTCCTCGGGGTCATCGCTTTCTACGATTTCCAGCATCTTGTTCACGTACTCGGACGCACACCGCTCGAGTCCTGCGACATTCGGACCATAAGCAGCCACATGAATCTACTGCTTTGCAGCATAATAGCAGCGCTTTTCCTCACTCAACGTGCACCACTCACCCAGCACACCATCTCGCTTGACCTTTTGTTCTTCAAACTTGTGCCGGTGTTGCTTAGCAGCCACGACACTCTTCTCCTCGATCTTTGCCTTGCTCGCCTGGCAAGAGATCAAGATGGTGTTTAACAAAGAACCACACGCATCGAGTCACCCACCAGAGGAGCAAAGAAGCGGGCAGACAGGAAAAGAGAGCGCTACCTCCACATCAATGCGACGCAAGTCCTCATCAGAAAACGGGACCCGCGTCTCCGGCTCGGAAAAGTCCCCGGTGGCTAAAATGTACTGCACCAGTGACTCGACATTGTACACAACGACCGACCCATTTGTCCGCGTAATCTCCACCTGCAGCAAATAGTTAGAGGGAAAACAATGACGCAAACATACGTAAACACCTTCTACGTCAGTGCGTTGCAGCTCAAGCCCGCTCTCACAGGTTCTACCGACTCCACGAAGCAGGCCACGTTCGTACCGTGTGTGGACCCAGCTCCGTAAGCATAATGGGATCCAGTGTATTCACAACAGCTGCAGTCTTGACCTTCTTCTCCTGTCCAGCTCCTTCTGCGTCCACGTCCGTCGAGCGCTTCTTCTTGAGCGACGACAGCCGTTCACTTGACCGCGTTGGGCTGGTGGCTACCGCCCTCGCTGTGATCGGAGCCACGTCCCCCGTGGCGGTTTCGATGGACTGACTGGCTTTCAAAATGACATTGGCATGATCGCCACGACCGCCGCCTTCTTTGCGCTGCAAGAGCGAAAAGAGCTCGGGCTTGGACAGATGCAGGTAGTACTTGAGTCCGCGGTCGTGAGCAAGCGCACGGAGCTCGGCCATGGACGGAGACGACCGGGTCTCCATGAGGAAGAAAAAATACAATAGCTGCTGGGAATTTCAACTTTCACGAAAACTCGAGACGTAAATGGGCGTCTGCACTCGCTCGAAAGTTGAGGAATGACCGACTGACCGGGTGGGGATGCTTTGACCTGAGAAAGTCATTGGAATAGTGAGCGAGCGAGCGACCGACCGACTGACCGACTGCGTGCGGTTTCTATGGTTTCGTGATTGCATGTCGTACCGGTATCACTCGCCAAGCGACTCTTGACATGGTCTAGGGCAAGGGTACGCCTAGAATAGGAGCTCGAGGAACCTCAACTACGGCGCCGTCGGCGAATTGTGACGTCATGACGGAACGCAGTGCGGCGTACAAAGACGGCGTTTTGTGAAGGTGGGCTGGAAAAAGCACTATTTTCTCTTCGAGCGTATGATGTGATACGATGAAAGCGAAAATGCTGCGATATGATCAGGTGACAATTTGTGCTGATCTGCTTGATCACATCGTGTTGTCAGGTAGTGTTGGAACACACGAGGGATGAAACAGCGTGCGTCCATTTTGCTATTGATTGAATGAACTTTGTGCTGCAAGGGCAGGTTTTTCATCGCGTTGTTCCAGCTTTTAACGTTGTCTTCAAGCGTGCTGATACGTTATGATTATCTGGTTGCATCATAAGCATTAGTTGTGTCATCGTTAGTCCGAAGAATGTCACCACCACTGTTTTGAAAACAAGAGTAACAAACTTTAGTGATACAAGCTCTGGTACTTACAGACACAACTGTGAGTCAGGCGCCTCGCTGACTTTGATGACATGAGCACTCACGGCATGCTGCTTTTATGGGTATATCAATTGATGCATCGTTGTATACCTGGATAAAACCCTCACGTCAAGTCAATCAGGATAAAGCATTTCTGCGAGAATTCTCGCCGTTAAATTCAAGTGGCTCGCTCAATCTGCCCCGAGATGATGACCGCGCCATCTCATTCTTTTCAAAGACAGTGCGAATGCCGTTTTTTTACTACACGGGCACCGATTTAAACGTACTAAACATCCGTTGCAGCGGACGGTCCTCTTCGAAACCTCTTAGTCATGTGATACACTACCATCCATTGACGCTACGGCATTCATCGTGTTTCTTGCTACGACGATGCTTTGCAATCTTCCCAGTTCTGGAACCGAAGGCGGCACAAGCTACTAAGACTATCGTCTACGTCTTCTTTACTGTTCTTGAAATAATCATCCATCAGGCGTTTCCAGACGTGAGGATCCATGCTGGAAGCTAGTAAGGTGACGCCACGGACAAATGCATTCTTGTCAATCGATCTATCATTTCCTTTGTACCAGGACAGCTGGCTTTAAGCTCATCGGTTTGATCTTGACGCGAGTGGGTATGAGTGCCAACTACTTTTTTGTAGCAAACAACTGAAGCTTCATCGTTCGAGTCGTGGCTTCAAGATCATCCCACATATTATTGCACAGCAACAGATGAGTTCTTGTAGGACAAAATCAACACAACCACATTACTATCGACCGTTCGTATCCGACTGACTGACGTAGTCGAGGGTGCAGGAGATCCACCTAAAAAGAACAACTAGTGCATGTGTGCGGCTTATTGCTTCCCATTGGTGACATGCCATTAGGAGCGGTATAGAAGCCGTAGGAATTTTCTTGCATTTTATCATGCAGATGTGCAAAGTCTTCACACTTAGACTAGACTGACACCTTTATCGAGTAGACCAGAGGCGAAATGAAATGCTTCACAGGCTGATCAATAACATCGTTTGTTTCTGAATTCACATGGTGATGTTTTCGATCATATAAACGGCAAGGTGCAATGTTGATGCCATCACGCGCTTTACGTTGTGCTAGTCACGCCACGGAACAAATGGCTCGTTAGAAAAAATAGCCGACTCGACTTTGGAATGCAAGTCTAGAGTTTAGATACCATACAGCTGCTTTACAAGATGCTTTTTACGCAGAACGCGGTCCACTTGCTTGCATACTGCGCAATCTGCAACTTAGTTTGCCGCACAACGTGACGTCTCGACACGTTTCTGGGAGATGTAAATACGGTCATACTTTAGATCACACGATTACTTGTGATCATCATGAGAAACTTAGGGTCTGTGCGTGAAATGTTACGCAACACCAAGTGGCTACGTACGTATTCTTCAGTGCTCTGAATGCGTGTCAATTTATTGTTTCAAGATGCACACGCAGCAGCACAACTAACTGAGTGGTGTCTATCTTGGGGCATCAATTGATTCTCTCACGGGATCAAAGCGATAGTGTGATGGAAACAATGCAAGTCTTGCCTAAACTGAATTCGACAGGCGTGGTATGCAATCACCGCAGGTAGGAGCACAAGTACTCGTGTAGTCAGGATATGCACTCTCTGTAAGTCAATACTTCGTATCGACACCAGCAGTTATGCATGCGCCACATGTTCTGCAACTTGGATGGTGCAAGGGGTTAAGCTTAAGTTTTCAACTTGCTCTATTGAAACATAGCGTCGCATTCGATTTCCACAATTCAGGATCGTTGACACGATGAATGGGATCACCGTCGCATCAATTGTAATGAAGTGCGATAAATGTGTAAAACTACATTCAGAGAGCCTTACATCTTCGATGAAAGCCGCTGTTGAGCAAGTCACTCATTGATCATGTCAGTACTCTGCAGAACTGGATGTACATTTTCTTTTGATCCAAACTTTGCTTTTACGCATACTCAGGTATTCGTGGATGCGCTGAATCATTCACCTGTCATGAACAGCGGTGTCTAACGAAACAACTTTTGCAATGACACCAGTGTTGTTGCTTTGTATTTACTAAATTGGAAGTGTAGCTGATGGCTATCTACATTGGAACCGTCAGCGAGAATCGATAACATGCTGAATGACAACGTTACCCGGTACAACTGCATTGATCCATCTTGACACAATCGTCGCTCGAAACGTGGCGCACCATCGTCACAACAGCAATGTACTTGTATTTTGCATGATAAAGTGACGAATTTGGGTCGACAAACAAGGCAAGTACGATCGCATCTCGTAATCACACACGGCTTTATTACGAACTGCGAGTTCGAAGGGTGAAGCTATTAGTGAGTGTGCGCAAGGTTGAAAGCCGAGCTCTTTAATCGTACTTGTCGGTGTGTGTAAATAACGCGGGTAGGTGCACCTCACACGTACCAAGTGCGATGTAGCCTGTCCCCCTCATTGGTGTTGGAAGTGCATATTCAAGTCACTATTGTGATGCATGCTTGTGCTCGATCGAAGGTGAGTACGGTCACATAAGCAAAATGCTAAACGCTCATAAGCAAATGCTGGACGCTCATTAGCAAAGGCTGATCGCATTGCCCTAGCATATACCGACTGAATAACCACTGACATGAACAGCATCACACTCATTCTATATTGACTGCTGTTGTATAGTGTTTTGCAACTTGATTCAATTCTGTGAGCTGAATCACTTTTATCAAGATGCGAGCTCCAGAGCTTGCTTCCCTATCTTACTAATCTACGAAGCCGGTATCCCTATTCACAACGCGAACACACTTTGGATATAAGATGCAACAATTCTCTTAGAATGCCGGCGCCTCTACTGACAACGCGAACATCCCTTGGATGAATGTAATAGTTATCCTACAATACCGATGCCCACTGAAATGATCAATTATCAAATGTATAATCACAGTGCAATACAGAATACTTCACTCATAGTCCGCATTTTTTCTCTCGAGTCGGCTACGGGCCCCACATGCTTAATTCCAATCAACGACACCATGCCAATAGACCAGACGCTAGAATCATGACGTCAACGAGCCGCAATCTGCATCTGTGGAGCTCTACACGCGCCAGCTTCATCACGCACTCGCCTCTCAAATCCAGCACCATCGCCTTCGTACCACCTGCCATCAGCGAGCGAGCACTCTTCCCTCGATGACCCATAGAGCGAGCACTCTTCCCTCAATGGCCTCGCTAGCACGTCCTGCGTCGATCGACCTGTGCCATTACAAACACAAATCGTGGAGCCATGCATGAAAGGCTACGAGTCGCTAGCCCTGAGTTCACCTTGGACAGCGCAGACACGCCTTTCAAAGGTCCGAGACCACTCGGACGACGGCAGCACAGCACAAGCGCAGCAAAAAGAGACACACGAGCACAGGTATGGCCAAATCGCACGCACCCCGAGCTGCGTGTCGTACGATTATCTGCATTAGGCCAGTAGACGCAGCCTACTTCGCTACGCTGGGACCCGTCACGAACGAGTGCAGCGCAAACAGCACAAAGAGGACGCCACCTACGAGCGTCACGGTCCGTTCCGAGATGCGCTTGGCCAGAAACTTGCCGCCTAGGACAGCAATGCCCGTACACATTGAGTGGCCGAGGATCGCGCCAAGCGTCACGCCGAACGCATCCTTGGTCGCCGACAGCGTCACCGTCGCAATCTGTGACCGGTCGCCCCATTCCGCCAAGAACGTCATAAGGAACGTCTGCGAAAACACCTGAATCATGCCGTCTGTCGAAATGTCTGCCTTGACCACGCCTTCCTCCACTTGCCTAATATAACACACCATAAAAAAGACATCACCACCAACCATCACGTCAGCTCGACCACACCCGACAACAGTCAGAATCAAGACGACCAAAAAAAGTCCCTACTTAGCCGAAAGACCACCCTCGTCCTTCTTGCCCATCAGCTCCTCCTCCACCTCAATCAATTCATCCGACGGACCCCTACACCACCACCGCAAACAAACAAACAAACAACAACAACAAACACAACCATCATCAATCCACTGCACCAAAAATACATCCCCCCAGCTTTTCACCACCACATGAACAAAACACCATCCACGTACGCCGCATTCATCTCCCTCGCATCGTACAGCATCTTGGCCCCAAAGAGCACAAACTGCACACAAAAACAACAACAACAAAAACAACAACAACAACAACAACACACCAGTCAGCTTCCCTCTCTCACAGAACCTCCTTCAGCTCCTTCTCACCAGCACAGCCCCGAGATAGTGCGTCACACTTGGCGGCAGGAACTTGGTCGCCACGACGCCCATCACGACCGAGAGCACCGTCATGACAATGAGCGCGCCAATGGCGCCTGCAAACACGACCACGCGGTCCTTCTTCATGCTCAAAATGGCTGCAATAAAGAACGTCTTGTCCCCAATTTCCGTGGCCCAAATGGTCAGCAAACCGCTCACAAAGCCCGACCAGAAGAGCTGCTTGGGACCACCAGGCTGCAGCTTGAACCGCGGACGTGTGAGCAGCACATTTTGCCAGCCACCAGGAGCGCCAGCGCCAGCGCCATCTGCTTCGTGATTGTCCTCTTTATCGTCATTTTCGTCCTCGTTATCGTCATTTTCGTCTTCTTTATCGTCATTTTTGGCGGCGTCGTCGTCATTTTTGGCGTCGTTGTCGTTATTTTTGTTGCTTTTAGAAATGGGACCCGCGTTTAGAAATGGATCAAGTGCGTGCGAGAGCGCGGTGGTGAAAGCAGTGAATTCTGTGTGGTCCACTACACCATTATGATTGGTATCGGCGCGGTCAAAGGCGGGCGTGGGGACCACAGGAGCGAGGGTAGGGGCGGGCGCAGAGACAGGGACGGGCGCGGGCGCGGCGACGTCAGTGGCGTCGGACGTCGCACTCTCTTGGGACAGCGTGGGGGCGACGACGAGCGATAATGTCGCGAGCACGAGGATGACACGCGCCATCATGACGGGGTGGAGGAACAAGGTCGTTTTTTATCTGGATATTGGTGGCGTGTAAGGAGTGAAGTTTGATTGGGAGATCAGGTGGACTTGGATAAATCGATTGATAGGGTGTGTGTGTGGACGCATAACCAGGATGAAACCCTGTGATTTTAATTAAAGTTTGAGGTTGTTTTCAGGATCATAGATCACGACATATTTAAGCTCGAGCTTGTTTTTTTCGATCAGATCACGACATGTTTTTGTTTGGTTTCTTAATTTTTCTGTTTTTTGACAATTTGGGCGTCGTCGTTTTGTAGCTCATTTGATCGATGCTCGCAAATATCCTAGTTTATTTGTGGTGTGATTAATTATGCTACTATTTGTCATTTCTTTGCTCGTTTCAGTGTACATCCGTTTCGATCATAACCTAAATTGAAAAATACTGATGGTGACCACAAAGTACACGGGTAGAATTGATTCTCGCGTCGCGACTAGACTTGCGATGTATGCTCACGGCAAGGAACTCTTGTTAGGACTACGAAGTTGCTCTTTTGCCTCCTAGATTACAACGACTGATCGCTGCTAGACCTGAAAAGCTCAGAAAAATTGATGGTTGTGCAAAGCCTAACCGGGAATACAATCGAGGGCCGAGACTGCCTGACTAGGGTGCACATCGCTCCACCTTGCAACCCCTCGATTGGAAGAGGTAGGTGAGTTCTAGTGTACGGCTACTGGAGGTTCATCGCAGGTAGAATGATTTTGGGTTTGTGAACATGTTATTACGCGTAGAATGTTGTGAGTATACGACGGCAAGGCCAAGCTGATTAACAAAGTCGACACAATCGCTACGTCGGTGCGGATCCGACCGATCTGTCCTCTTTGTATACGTTAGACTGAAATAGTGTGGAATCGAGGACACGTCGTGATGCCTGAACAGTTTCGAACGGACTCGATTGCCTTGATTGAATCTAGCATAAGTAGTATCGTCTGTGTCCAACTTGCTTTATCGTTTGTATTCTTACAAAGGCTTGATGTGCGTACGATACCGGTGAACCTGTTCTGTCAGCAGGCCCCGTCTCTCCAGAATCACACTTGTCCTGAATTCTAGCGTTACCAGCGCCACCTCGGCCCCTTCAATCGTCTGTACCCATCAATGCATTCTCCAATTTATACAAGAAGACTCGTCCATCTTATCCCTCGCATCGTTCAGCCAGCTTTGGAAGCAGATCATCATAGCTTCATTGACAGCTCTAGTGGCATATCGCGTACTTCTGTTATGGCGCGTCTGTTGCCATGTTACGCTGATCTCTATCCGTATATAAGTCAACAACGCAGTAGAAATCCGGTTTTTGATCTCGCAAGCGACGACACCACACCACGCTGCAACGTCTCGACATTTTGGGCAATAAATACGCGACCGGAATCGTGCAAATAAAAGTGTGGCAGGATGGCAACGTTTTGACCCGAGCACAACGCGCTTGATTGACCAAAAGGCTACCGTTTGATTGGCGAAATGAATGCATTAAATTGGGTACCATCGTTCCAGCAGGACGAAAGGGAGTGGGAATCAATAATCTGCCCCGTACCTTTTTGCGTTGCCATTTCAAAATCCTAAATCACATCAAACCAGTTTAAATCAAAGCACTCGTTTCAGGCAGTAGTACTACTCCCCGTTCAGTCACTTGCTCGGCGGACGGACACGAAAACCCTCTCAGATTTAGCGCCTCAGCTTCCAAAAGATGTCGCTCGAGCCTCCTGTCCACCTTGTTGGCGTATTGTACGCGTCCAAGCATCACATGCAAAAAGCCTTCAACGCCTTTGCTGCTGAACAAGGCTATGCCATCGTGACCAAGCATTCCTACAAACACCGGAAGGGGAGGCAGAAAGTGCATTACAAGTGCGATCGCGGCGGAACGTATCGGAGTACTCGTCGTTTAGAAGCAGGAAGCCGGCAGAGAAAATCCAAAAGCGCTTGTACGGGCTGTGGGTTCAAACTGCTCGGCACGGAACATCCAGGTAAAACGGAACGTACGGTGTCGATAATCGGTGGATAATCGATTTTCTCTCTCGATAAAGCATTTATCCGCATTTTTGTGTGTCGTGTTATCTTGTAGATGGCCGATGGAGTTTTACAATCGAGCAGGGGGGACATAATCATGCACCTTCTGCCCATCCAACGGACCATGCGATTCACATGCGTCTGAGTGAGAAACAAATGACAACAGTGAAGAACTTGATTGAATCTGGAGTGCGAGTCCGGGACATTCAGACCTACTTGAAGTCGATGGATGATGGGATTGAAGTGACCAAGCGCAAGATCTACAATATTCTACGCCAGTCAAAATGCGAGCAGCTGGATAGGCTCACCCTACCAGACGTTCCTGTCTCGCAGCAGCAGAGAAATGGCGAAGAAGAAAACGATCGGGAAACTATCACTCGACAGACTCTAGAGGTTATGCCGGAACCGGAACCGGCACGAAGACGTTCCTTGACTTCTATGTCGGAAACCATTTCCAGTCGCCGCGATCCTATGACGCTTGAATACGTGGAAGCTCCTTTAATGGGACATCGTCCATCTATTTGCCATGCTTGCGGCCAGCTGGTCCCTCGTCGTGACTCGTCGCTTCGCACTCTTGCAAGGCAGCCAGCTAACAAGGATGTGATGCAACAATACCAGCGGTTTCAGCACCAGTAGATGCAACGCACGCGGACGCGACAAGCTTTACGTTCAATACAGATTTGCACATTACCGACTTGTGTGTCGTGTTAGTTGCAAAGAGCTGTCTGGCTGTCAAAAAAAAAGCTGAAGATGTGTTGGCATGTAGCATAATGTGGTAATTGTTTGGTCATGTCCCGATCGGTGGCCGTACAACATTTCTTGACTATAGACGACTTAGTCAAGCTGCGTTTATCCCTCAAGAGTATAGTAAAAATGCCCCTATCAGCTCTACTTCGCGCAAGTTGCCTTCCACTGCGTGCAGGTGCAGCGCAATATGAGGTCGAAGTATCTCATTGCAGTAAGATTTCACTAGAAGGCCGGCAGTCGTCCATCTATTGTCGGCGTTGGTCAGTACTGCTAGTATCTAGAAGGGCGATCAGTAGGTATAATCGCTCATTTAGTAGCAAGTAATCACAACCTACGCGTCCATGGCCAAAGAGCACGGCAAACTCATTCAGGTTGCTAAATCATCATCAGTGCTGCAACCAACAAGCAGCTACATCGACAGCGACGGCATTGGACAGCTGGGCGGTGCAAATTGTTCATGGTAATGTTCGCACTGCAATACGTTGGTCTACTATGCAACTTCTACTTGCTTGTCAACCCGGTCTTTGTCGCGCCTGCGTGGTGGTCGGACTATTCAACAATGAAGTAAATTACGTCGTGGTCGACTGACTATTTTGACTCGTAGATGTGTGTGCGAGTGGTTACAAGTACGAAGCATCGCAAAGCTCGTTGACGAGAAGGTTTACAGACGATGAAATGGTGTAATCACAGCTTCTATGCGCTGGGCCAAACCTGCTGTCTTCTTCATCAAGCAGCCGTCACGTTTGACAAGTCGACAACCCTTGTCAATGCAAAGACGCTATGGGCTTTTCTCCAGTCTAGAGAGAAATGTAGAGCTTGAACATGCATACAACGTGACGACTTGTTCACGTACGGGTGACTCGCATCAGTCACATCCGTGAACGTGATCGCATATGCTGGGCGCAACATTCTCCGGCAAAGGAGCTCCTGCAAGTCTCGCTCCTGCTGCTATCAAAGAGAGCTCCAAAAGTGCTTCGAGCATTACTTAGCAGCAACCTAGAAGTCCAGCGAGAATCATCAAATACTTCTCCTTTCATCATCCTCCTCGACAAGAACATGCCAAGCCTCGTCGGTAGCCTTCCGTTCACCGATGGCTGGTCGAGAGTAGACAGGTGACATTTTTCCACCGCCTCGAATGAGCAGGTGGTAGACGAAATACTGCAATCGCACGCTCGATTTCCTGCTGGTTTTGTCGTCTGCCTTGTGGCTGTCCAGTTCTGGACTCTACCCCCACACTGCTCGTCGATTGATCCCCAACCCATTCCCGCATTCACTGCGTGTTCATCCACCGAAAATTGGGATGGCGTTTAGAAGTTCGAGTTGCAGTCCACGCGAAAGGATGGACGTAACCTACCGACAAGTGGTGCTGCTATTGGCGCTATGGGGCGTCTTGATGGCAGATGTCGCGCTTGTTGTTTCCGCCCAGACGTCGTACAGCTTGGCGACAGCTTCGTCTTCGGCGACAGACACTTCGAACACGACTGTAGTGGACGTGGTTCCTCCCATCTCGACTCCATACGCATCAAGTACCGACTTGGCCGTGCCTCCAGTTGGGACCGTCCAACCTGCAGCTTATTTTACGACAGACACCACGAATGCGGACACTGCCTACATTTGCAATGGCGACGAAGTGGCGCGCCTAGCGAAGCTCAGTGAGAACAACCCGTACCTGCACTCCCGCTGTACCAGCTTGGCTGGTATCAGTTCGTACGTCTTTCCATTCAATGGAGAGCTCGGGTACACGCAAATGGTGGCGATGGGTCTCATTCAGGAGTGCCAGTACTACTTCCGAGCAGTACTTCTGGTCCAGCTTCAGGAGTGCGTGGTCGCGAACGTCTACGTCCGGACAACTGCAGAAACCATTCTCCAACTCGCTGCGACTTCCGGGAATGCACCGACCGAAGCACAGGTGGACGCGGCGAAAGGCGTTCGGAAGACTTACAACCTGGCGCTTCGAGATGGACAAGGCTCGGCTTCTTACTCTGCTACAGAAGGAGCGTCAGCTCTGAGCTGGACTATTGAAGGCGACACAATCGACACGATCGCGTCGGTCAAAACTGACGGGCAGTTGCTCATGAGTACCGACTTGCACGTCGTCGGCACGTATTACCCGTCGTCCAGTACTTCTTCCAGCAGGCAAGAAGACCCAATGGAGACCCCCTCTCCGTCTGCTCTTCCCAATGAAAAAGATGATGCATGGACATCTGGCCTCCGTGTAAGCACCTCTGGTTCGGGCAGGAGTGGGGTATCGTCGTGGCTTGTAGTGGTATCAGTTGCATGCACTTGGAGGTTGCACAGTAGCCTCAAGTAGTACAGCTCATCTTATCTATCAACACCTTACAATCGAGTGCTACGTTTGACATGTTGAGAAGCTCCTCAGGTAGTGGCTGTGCAATGGGCGACAAGATGTACGAGTCAAGGGAAAACCAGTGTCTTTATTGTTCAGATCGTTCAAGGTGGCGAGATATCCGTTTCTAGCTAGAGTCTCGGCAGCTTGGTCATGTCAGCACGAAGCTTGTGCTAAAGACATGTCGTAGGCGAAGTCACGAGTGTTACCGTCGTGACTTGGCGCACAATCTATCGGTAGAATGCAGACAGAAGAACTTGATGGTCTTCTCATGGATGTTGAAGGTGCTCTTACAAAGACGCGCGGACTTCGAGAGTAGCATCGACCATGTTGCGCAGAGCGGCAATGGTTTCGGGCCATTTGCGGGTCTTGAGACCGCAGTCGGGGTTCACGACAACTTGCGCAGCAGGCAACAGGTTCAAGAAGCTCTTCAGCTTCTTGACAATCTCTTCCTTTGGCGGCACCACAGGCGAGTGAATGTCGTACGTGCCGGGACCCAGGTCACGCTTGTAACCGATCGACTTGAACTCACGGATCGTCTCATCGTCCGAACGGGCGTTCTCAATCGAGTTCACGTCCGCGTCAATAGCATCGATCGCGTGCATGCAGTCCGCAAACTCGCAGTAGCACATGTGCGTGTGAATCGAGGTCTCGTTCTTGGCGACAGCAGTTGACAAACGGAACGCATCCACGGCCCACTTCAGGTACTCGTCCTTCTTGGAAGGCTTGAGTGGCATGCCTTCGCGAAGAGCAGGCTCATCAACCTGGATAACCACGCACTTCGCAGCCTCCAGATCAGCGACCTCGTCGCGCAAACACAACGCAAGCTGGAAAGCCTGATCCTTGCGGCTAATGTCCTTGCGCGGGAACGACCAGTTCAAGATCGTCACGGGACCAGTGAGCATGCCCTTCACTGGTTTCGTCGTGAACGACTGCGCCACAACAAACTCACGCACAGTCATGTCGCTCGGACGTTCGAGGTCAGCGAAAATGATTGGAGGGCGCACGCAGCGCGACCCGTAACTCTGGACCCATCCGTTCTGCGTGAACGCAAACCCATTCAGCTTCTCCGCAAAGTACTCGACCATGTCGGTACGCTCAGGTTCACCATGAACAAGAATGTCCAGACCCAGTGCTTCCTGGACGCCAATGTTATAAGCAATCTGTTCGTCAATCTTGCCGCGGTAGTGCTCCAACGAAATATCACCAGCCTTGAGCTTGCGACGCAGCGCACGAATCTGAGGCGTCTGAGGAAACGACCCAATGCTAGTCGTAGGCAGCACCGGTAGGCCCTTCAACTGCGACGGACGACGTTCAGCAAACGGCGACGGACGCTTAAAGTCTGTCTCCGTGACAGCAGCCAGACGGGACTGCACCTCTGCTTTTGCAGGGTTCTTCTCATAGTACACGGCCCACGCCTTCTTTGCCGACTCAATCTCGGCCTTCGCCACATCATTCCCACTCTCGGCAATCTTCTTCACCACCTCCAGCTCCGACAGTTTCTCGTACGCAAAGCTCAGCACACCCAGGAGCCCGTCCGTCTCGCCAGCATTCAGCGCTTCTTCGCACCCAGTCGTGTACGGCACGTGCTGCAGTGACGAGCTCGTCTGTACAGTCAGCGACGTGTTCTCCGAAGCGGCCAGCACCTTCTGGATCTCCTTCACCTGCGTCAAGACCGTGTCGGGGTTGAATTTCCACACACTGCGACCGTCAATGAGTCCAGCGCCAAGGCGTTTACCAGCAGGGAACCCGAACTTCTGCAGCATTGAGAGGTTGTCCCCTCGGGTAAAGTCCAGCGAAATGGCTGCTACAGGCGAGTGGAGGAACCACTGGTACACGTCACTTGAGACCTCTTCAAAGTACGTGACCAGGTTGAGTGCAATCGACTCGTGCTGGATCGCGCCTTGGTGGTCGTTTGAGCCGTATACAGTGGTCAAGTGAGTGGCCAATCGGTCTGCGTGGGCACCGACGAGTGACGGTTCGTGTACTTGAACCTCCTTGACGCCAAGTGCAGCGAGTTCAGTCAATAGGCAAGTATAGAGTGGGAGGATCTTGGTCAGGAGCTCGTCAAACGTGGTGTTGGAGTCGTACTTACTGAGATCGAGGTACGTCAGTGGACCGAGCAGAATGGGTACAGTCTGAGCGGCTCCCACGATTGCTAACGCGCGCTTGACGGTGCTTAAGTACGTGCTAAAGTTCGCAGACGGCATCGACGTAGCGCTAAGTTCGGGCACTTCATAGTGATAGTTCGAGTCGAACCACTTGGTCATGTCAAGCGCTGGGATGCCGTCGACGCCTCGGGCCATCGCAAAGTACTGCGAGAGACCCGAAGGGACAGAGACGAAGCGGGGAGGGGCGAGACCTAAGTAGTACGTCCAGTCGAGGACGTGGTCATAGAGCGAGAAGAGACCGACGCCGACGCGGGAGACGTTGGCGTCCAATTGTTTGCGCCAATTGGCTTCCTCCACAGCGTGGGCGACGGCCAAGAGCTCGCTCTCGCTGAGCTTGTGACGCCAGAACTTCTCGAGTGCGAACTTAAGCTCACGGTTCGGACCCATGCGAGGGAATCCGAGCGTAGCGCTGTCGACGGCGACCATTGGGAAGATGTAAGGGGAGGAAGAGGAAGACGAGAGGAAGTGCGGCTCTGGTACGGACCCGTAAGTGCGCACTGAAGAGCAGATTCAAGAGTGAGGGAGCAGAAGATAGGGAGGGATGGCACCTTTGGGCCGGGAAGACGGACGGATGGATGGATGGCTGCAGGGTGAGGGCGGGATGACCTGCGCCGGGCCCTCTCGGTGGACTGCCTGGCTCGGGTAGCGTGTATGCAAATTCGTTGCTACAGTATATGTTGTTTAAAGTGCGACTGTGCACTGTTGATGGCTTCATTGGTGATCGGATATACGAGGGTATACGGTCTTGCGTATCGAAAACTGAAGCAAAGGACGGTACGCCCAGCCTCGACGGATGCCTTGGCAGTGTTTGATTGGCTCGTGACACTTCAACCAATCACACCCGAGCTCACTTCAACTCGGCGGATGACGAGCTCCTTTTTGCCGTCGTCACTAAACTCGAGCGTCCTTTTGCTTTTTTACGAGTCTTTTTGTATAAATCGATCGACGCATCTCTTCTATCTACTATACTTACTTGTTCGTGCCACAAATGCAGAAAGTGCTCGTTTACGTCGATCACTGCGACTCTTTACTAATCGACTCGTTCGCTAGGTCGAGGTGGACCAAATCCAGAATCTGTCGCACATTGCTCGTAGCGGACAGCCACTCCTTGAACTTGAGCTGAATCACCATTTCCATCGTGCGCTTCGTCGTCAAGTCAAACTCGTTGCTGGTCACCAACTGCCGCAGCGACTCAACTGTTTCGTGCTGTTTCCTCACCACAGCCACATACTCGGGAGGGATCGGAAATGGCCGCTCAGCGGATCCGACTCCGCCTGCTGATTTCACGGGAACACACGTATCCCGGAACGTTTCGGGCAATTGAAGCGAAATCAGAGGTTTGTCGGTGATCGACATGCTATCTGTCGAGCAGGAAAAACAGCACCACAGCATGTCAGCAAAAACTGCAGAAGATGTCGTACGAGATGCCGTCAGCCCAAAGCAGACCTACCTTTCTCGTCGTCCAAGTTCAGGAACATGCTCCAACAGCCATGGGACTCTACGTTATACAGAAACGGCATCGTGGACAACTGCTGCTTCAATCCAGAATACTTGGTGTTATACGGCCCGAGGATCACGCCGAGATTTTCACCACTGACAATAATGGGAGACAGCGTGTACGCGTTAAGGCGCGTGTCCAGACAGTTGCTGCAACAAACGCGTAAGTGAGTGATTAGTTGATGCTGATCAAGAACTTGCCGGTTGTTGGTCTTGTACCTAACGCGAATGAGACCAGATAGACACGTGAGCTGCACGTTTTCACATCGCTCTATCAGCAAAATTCCTGCGCTTGGCGCCGTGACGATACGGCAGTTCTTGCATGCTGAAATCGTCACATTTGTGCTAGGGAGAACAAACACTGGTTAAGGAAAGCACCGTCGGACGGGAACAATAAAATCTTTGGTACGAGAGTATCAGCGCCCATGCAAATAATACAAGCAAATCATATGAGAGGATATCGAACAGGTCCCAGGATGTAGATGTACGAGTCTTGACAGGAAAATATGATGAGATCCGGGTGTTGGCGAGCGTCGTCAGGCACCACAAACTCGTCCATGCACTTGATCATGGTCGTCTTTGTGAGTTGCGATAGAACGAATGGACGAGTTGTGGTCTTCTCTGACACGGGTGTGTCTGCAATACCATCCAGCGAAAAATCGTCTGGAACACAGCAGGGAAACAAATGAGCCATATAAGCGTCAGCACGAACGTGTGCATGGACACTGTGAAGCAAAAAGCAACACACCGTTGAGCGAAAAAGCAGGGGGTGAAGGAGTTGACAAGCCCTTTTGATTCATCGTAAGAGCGGCGACAGAGTACCCCACGGGTGGATACATTTTCTCGTTCAGCGATAAATGAGTCTTGAAGAACCGACAAACCTTAGCTCCATTGTCCACAAGTGGCACGAATTCCTTGGCTGCCTCAGTGTCGGACATTGCACCGCCGTCATCAGACTGTTCCCACGTCGGATAGCACGAGCTTAGCCTGGCCTGCTTGTCCACGAGACTAGCATCTCCCAGACACAACAAGAACGCTAACAGGTCAACCTGGTCTGCGCTGACAACCGTCGACGAGTCTTCTTTCAAATCGACCGAAGGATAAAGTAACCCAAACAAATCCTCTAGCTTCTCCCGCACAAACGCCAAGTAGTACGAGTCCGCTGTCGAGCGGTCCGCCATACCCACAGCATGTGGAGACTGCGGTGGCGGTGGGCTGGCGCCACCTCTCATATGCGGCGATCCCAAAGCGCCCAGAAGTGGCGAGCGTGGCGATGCAGTCGAAGCTGCAGTAGGTGCTGTTTCCAGACCAGCTGCAGACACAAAATTATCTGCGTGTTCTCGATACCAGACGGCATTGTACGACTTCAGCGAGTATTTTGTCCTCCACGAATGCGGCTTTACCGTCTGAATAAAGAGAAGAATCGCCACCTTAAACACCGGTACTTCCTCTCTTTCCAGGCACTGCTCGACATCGAGCGGCATTGACTCGTCCGCTACTTCCTTTTTCACTGGAATCATCCGGTGAAACTGCACCAGCAGCAGCCAAAACGCCTTATAATCCTGCTCCCTCCATCGAAACGTGTCGTCCACTGCCTCTTTCCAGCCACCAAACGTGACAACATTTAAATTATCACTCTCAGTAAAACCTCCTTCCGTGTCCAGCATCACAGCGTCTTCTCCCGCAACAGCGTCCAGTCCATTACAGCTCGTCAGGCACTTTTTATGCACAGCATCTAGTGCCTTTTTCACATTGCTCAGCGTCAAGGTAGCTGCATACTTGGACGGTAACGGCAACAGGCCGAGCTCAAAGAGCTCGAGACGGAGCCAAATGTGCGCCATCGTGTTGCGTCGCTTCCGCTTCTTGGCTGGAGGTGATTGACCCGCGACTTTCTGGCCGTCTTGAGCACTGATGGGGGTTTTCCGGATCTCTCCTGAAGTCTGCGCCACGGACACGACGTTAGCAATAGAATGGCGGCGGCCCATATCAAACACAGCGACCGTGCACCTGTCCGCACCTTCGTGGTAAGCGCGCGGCGTTTCGTTCTCAATCGACACGAAATCGCAAGGGACTGTCAAGATGCAAGGGACTTGAGACTGCGACAGTGCGGAGGCTGGAGCTGCTGATCGCAGCCGCGGGCTCTTTGGGATGATGGGATTGTTCGAGCAGATACGAAATTGCGCTGGGTTTTGGGTCGATTGAGGTACGCGTACGTAGAAAAGGAGGATGAAACGATCGAAATGGGACGAGGAGGGTTTTGGGAGTCTGCCTCAAGTGGTAAAACTGGTTTAAAGTGTTGGTCTTTCGAAACTGAGGATACTATTTTTGGTTGGGACTAGAACCTATTTGGCTGCTGCGAGGACGAATTTGCTGCTAACTTTTTATATATTTAAAATGTAGCAATATCAACAGGTTTTGAAGACGTCATGACTGTTTTCGGTGATAGATATGACACAGAATGAAGCGCGTGGAGTGGCGGTACTCATTTGAAAAGGCTACATCAGCCAAGGTGGCGATTGTCTCAAATGTCTTGGATTTTCGTAACTATCTCATTTCGCACACTGGATTTGGGCTCTAAAAGCGAAGGGTGCCGCTAAAAATCGACTAAGACTTGAGTACGGCAAACCTTTTTAGGTCCACCTATAACTTATTGTCAAACACACATGCATGCCGCTTAGGTTATCCACTGTAAAACCTGTTTCATAACCTCACTTGGAATTACGCCAAAACCCCACCCTAGAGTGGGTTATTTTTGAAGAAGGGGTCTTATTTGAGATGAATGAATTGGAATAACATTAAACGGAAGGAATTAGGATAAAAATGAAGATATTGAACTTGGGATAAGATTGACAAAAAGTTGGAATAAGATTAAGGAAAAGATCGTGGTTATTTTTCTTAGACGACATCAAACTAGACGTCAACACAAGTCTCGTGCTTTGCATTTCTCATTCTGCAAATTCTATCTTGGTAAACATACGATCGGGTCTCATGCCCCCCGCGCTAGTTGGCGGCCCAAGGCGCAGTAAGCCCCTGTGCCGGTTGAGACGTGGGTAGGTCAGTTGTGCGCGTCCTGCAAGCCATATACAGAAGCAAATGAAGGGCCTCTTTATGAGGTATGTGCACATCAACGAAACGTGTAACGAGCAACTGAATTTCTGTTTTTACTGCGTTTCCAAAGCAGCAAGACCATAATCAAGTCGAAGTGACTTGCATCTAATATGGTACGTTCGACGCAGTTTCACGCTGGTTACCACATCTCACGTTGCACTTCGCAAGTATGCGCTACCTGAAGAACTACAGCTTTAGAGATGGAGCGTTCGAGAAGTTGATGTCATACTCGTCGTCGTCGTCGATGCTCATGCCACTTGTAATGTAGTAGCCCGTTACAAGAAATTGACACCAAACGGTGTCAATCGGAATTTTGTCTAGCATGACAATATTCTACCAATATTATCCGAGATGGATAATGTTGAAGGAAATTTGTCCCCTTTTAGGATTACATGCATGCGCTGCTCCAAGATTGGTTTATATAAGACATGTCACCCTTGATTACCACCAATCGTTGCTAGACGCGCGCAATGAGTGGTGAGCAGGTTGTCGTCATACGACGACGTAGTTTAGATTGGTTAAATAAAGACTGAAGTTTTATTGATAGCTTAGCTATATTAAATACACTTCTCTTTTTACCCTTACTTGAAAGAGTCGTTTAGGGAGATTAGCTTCCTCTGCACGTACCAGTGTACGTGAATTTTTGTGGCACCCCAAACAAAGGGTGCCCCGTTACACCTGGTAGCACTTCGTAGTCCGTCCAACGCCTACTTCGTGTCCGTCCAACCTGAACATGTTGGACGTAGAAGACGACAGCTTTCACGTCACACTTGAAGGCTACTCCCATCTGAGTGACTCAGAATGGGAGGTAGTCGGCCGTATAAGTATGTTCATGGGCGAACCCGCCATCAGAGGCACGTTGGAGTCTCTAAGCTGATACCAGCAACATGCTGCTATCAACAAGTTCCTACAAGGAGAACTTGCCGTCGAACGACAGAAGATAGCCTTGCTACAGCAGCAAGGCTCTCATCAGTCGATTGGCGGGCTGACGCACATGCGTCGACCCGAAACCTTAAAGATTGATATGTCAAGATACAAGGGAACCGATGAATATTCCCTTTTGAGATGGTTCGTCGAGTTAGACGATGCCATCAGGGCCCGTCACGGCGAGGGTGAAGAGATGCAAGTCACCTTCGCCCTGTCAAATTTGACGGGACGAGCAAAGACTTAGGCATTAGGGCTCAAGCTTCACGACCCAAACGTGTTTGAGTCGTTGGAGATCTTGAAGTCTCGGCTTAAAGAGACGTTTGAGCCGCCGAGAGCCGAGTTCAGAGCACGCTCTGCACTCTGGAGGCTTAAGCAAGGTAAGCGTGACGTGCACGCTTACGTACAGCACCTGCACTAACTTGCGAGCAGCGTTACGGAAAACTCTATTGATGAGCACACGCTCATCAACGTGTTCATTACGGCCTTGTGATTGGGCCAATGAAGACCTACATGTTCCGAGAGGACTTACATACGCTGGAAAGGGCGATAGCGTATGCGGAACAAGAAGACTACAGCCTGAGACAGTCTCAGGCTAACTCGTCAAACTATCGTCCGACGAGACGACAGGAAACAGGAGGTCCCGAACCAATGACCCTCTGTTACATCGAGAGCGATAACTCTTGCTCTCTGAGTCACAAGCGAACGGCAAGATGCCGACGCTGTCAAAAGGTTTAACACTAAGACCATGAGGGTGGTGTCTTAAGCACCACAACACGTCCAAAGACAGGACGTGATGACCACCGTTGGCCAAGGAAAGGTCCAAGGCGTGTGTCCGATCATGTCGCAAAGCCGCGACAGCAAGTCGGAACGCCAAAAACGGTCAGGATCAGTAAAGGCGGAGCACCCTGCTGATCCAGCAACGTCAAGAGAATTTGCAGGACTCTCGACAAAAATGGCTCCCTTCACACAGTCGATGTGTGTTACTGCCCCTATTGCTGAGGAGTCTCTCATCACTTTGAAGATCAAAGTGACATTTGAAATGTCACTTCGCGCCCTAGTTGACTGTGGGGCGTCGAACACGCACGATCAAAGTGACAAGTGGAATGTCACTTCGCGCCCTAGTTGACTGTTGGGCGTCGAACGGTTTTATTTGACGCCAGTCGCTAGGGGGCAGTAGGCTCAACTATGTTAAGCAAGAGTTCCCTCCAACGAGAATGACGGTGTGCCTTGCTACAGGCGTATCCGTAACAGTGAACAAACGTGTAGTGAGAATCCACTACACGCTAGAAGGAAAGCAGTACGATGACGAATCTATCGTATTAGATTTGGATGACAAATTTGATGTCATCCTTGGTCTGCCATGGCTTAAATAGTACCGGCCATGGGTTAGTTGGCAGCATCGATCCGTGAAGATGCCTGCCGTTTGTTCATCGGATGGCCATATGATGAACGTCTTGGAGCGTCCACAATCGTGTGGATGTACTACAAGTGAGTACGATGGCCTCACTTGTGGTACGGTCGTCAGTACGATTGCACAAGATCACAGCGTAGAAGGCCACTGCACTGTGGAACTAGCTTCCGGCACCTGTGGAGAGACACAGGCTGCGCGGAAGGTTCACCACTTGAAGAGATCGAGTGGACTGGAACACGAATGCACATCCAAGAAGGTTGCATCCTTGAAGAGATATTAGGGTTGTTCAGGATGAGCAACACGTTACAGCGAGATCGACTAGCAGAGAGTCTATCGTAAAGCAAACACGATCGACTAAAAGAGAGTCGATCGAAGAGGACGTGGCTGTGGTTGTGCACGAAACGGAAGAAAATTCCGGCGCTCCTGAGAGCAATAACTCCCGAGAGAGTTATGTCGAGGGTGTGGATCCCCAACCACCTGCGGATGTATTTTACCAGGAAGTCACTTTATGTCTTGGTGAATGACGAATTAAGTGTAGGCGCTTATACACTTGATCTGGTGACGCCCCCGAAGCCAGCTTCGGAGGTAGTCAAGTTGCCAGCGCTAGAATCTAAAACTTTCTTGCGAGATCTGCGTAGTGACAATATCAAGTATACCTTCGTACTCTTCACAGAGGACGAGTAAGTCGCCGATATTCGGTCGGCACAAGTGTTGCTGAGAACGAACGGGTTCTCAGTAGCTCATCGATGGACGAAAGTTTCCTCGATGAGAAGACTCGGATTGAGCGACACGCGTCTCAATCTTGGAGGTCTCTAAAGACAAATCTTTTGTGTAAGGATTTGGTTGAATTCAGGGATGTTTTCCCGGAATCCGTGCCATGCGAGCTGCCTAAGGACAATGGCATTCGGCATGAAATCGAACTGAAACCTGGTTCGAAATACTGTGTCATGACGCAGTTGTCACTGCCTCGTGAACAGGTAACAACGATCGACAAATTCTTTGCAGATCATTTAGCGGCTGGCCATGTGAGATAATCAACATCCCCACACAGCTCTACGACCTTCTGTGTGCGAAAGGCCACAGGAGGGTGGCGGATAGTGCATGCGTTCAATAAACTGAACGCTGAAACGGTACTGGCTCAAACGCCGATCCCAAGAAAGAATGTCATCATAGATGGTATGGCAAAGAGTACTATCTTTTCGTCCATGGATTTGATGGATGGATTCTATCATATCCTTATGCTTGAACAAGATATCCCTTACACAGCAGTGATCACCCCCAGTGGTATGCTCTATGAGTGACTGGTGATGGCACAGGGCCTAAGTAACGCCTTTGCAACGTTCAACGGATGTGTTACAAATCTATTGCGATCGGTGCGAGATTTTGCACCGATTTACTTGGACGATGTCTTCGTCCATGGCCGGGCCATGGATGGAAAGACGGACGCGGAGGTTTATAGAATCCACGTCCGGAAGGTTCTTACTCTAATGCGAGAGCATAACTTGTTCGCATAATTCAAGAATTTAATTTTAGTAGTGAACGAAATACCACTTCTTGGCTGCATCATGGGTAAAAAAGCGTACGCTATTATCCAGAAAAGACAGAGGCGATCAGCGACTGGCCTGTGTCAGTCGCCGTTAAGAGACTACAAAAGTTACATGGCTTATCGGCGTTCTTTCATAAGTGCTCGCGCAACTACGCCAAGGTGACAACTTATCGCTCTCGTTGTTAAAGAAAAGCGGAGGTGGTCATGGAGCGCTGAGTGTCAGCACTCTTTTGAAGGTACCAAGAATAGCTGGATACAATCGCCTGTGTTAGCGATTGCAGACCAGGACAAACCATTTCATGTGGTCTGTGACGCCAGCGATTTGCAATCGGCTGCGCGTTAAAACAGTACGACTCAGACGGCGCTGAGCGCGTCGTCTGTTATCAATAGCTTCAGCTGTAAGAAGCTGAGCACAAGTACCTGGTGCATGACAATGAACTTCTTGACATGAAACATGCACTGGCCAAGTTTCGGGTATATCGCTCAGGAAATAGGCCCTTCATCGTTTTTACCGACTATGCGTCGGTACGCACGGCCGTAAACAGTCCACACCTCTCGCAACGAACGGCGAGGTGGCTGTCTTTCGTTGCGGAGTACAACTTCTCCGTCGAGTATAAACCAGGACGATTTAATGTCGTCACTGATGCTCTGTCGCGTCGGCCCGATTTCGAGCCGACTGCTCAACCCAACAGTAGGGGTAATCCCACTGTTTCAACACTATCAATGAGTGTTCCGTCGTCGAATCTGCTCGACGACGTGCAAAGAGCGTACGAAGAAGATGAGTCTCTTCTGCGCTTGTTGGATTACGTATCCAATCCATGCAGTCAAGCTTTGAAAAGCTAGTCGCCTCAATACCGCTCTTCAAACAAACGGTATTCTGTTTGTGGTGAACTGCTGTACTATACAGCAGTCAACTGCGACACACCTCGTGTCGTCGCTCCGGCTCATAATGATTTGCGATTGCGCATCATGTATAAGTTTCTCGATGCCACGACAAGTGGGCATCGCGGTAGAGAAAAGACTTACCTCATGGTGAGTCGTGACTTCTACTGGCCCCGCCAGTATGAGTTCGTGCGCAAATACATTCGCGCTTGCGAAATTTGCCAACGGGTGAAGCCTAGTCCTTCATCCCGCGCACCCTTGCAGCCTCTACCGATTCCGACAGAGTGCTGGCAGTCCATATCGATGAACTTCGTCTTCGGGTTTCCCACCGACGTTCACAAGAATACGGTTACTCTTGCGTTTGTTGATCGTTTCAGCAGGATGATGCATCTTGTTGCTGTACCGGAGTCAATCACAGCCCATGGCTATGCGCGTGTCTTCATCGAAACTATCTTCCGACTTCACGGGTTACCCCGTGAACTCGTGTCTGATAGAGACCCCGCTTCACAGCGTAGTACTGGCATTCCGTGTTCCGTTCACATGGAACACGTTTGACGATGTCGACTTCTGACCATCCCAAAACAGATGGTCAAACGGAACGCGTCAACCGCGTTCTCGAAGAGATACTTCAAGGGTCTGTCCACTCGTTTACGAGTTGAAATGAGGTCTTGCCGATAGCGGAATTCACCATCAACAACTCGGTGCACGCGTCGAAAACGCATACACCGTTCTTCGTGAATGACCCACGCCATCCACGTTTACCCGCCTTCTTAGAGTGTGACTCTAGTGTAATAGGAGGGTGGACTCGCTCGAACAAATATCGATCTGGCTCTTGCTCATCACACGTCGACACTGGTGTCGACGCGATGGATACCGATGTTGATCACATCGACACCGATAACAATGGTGACGACGATGCTGGTATATTCAACAACACCAAAGGCTGCCACACTGAGGACGATGACGCCCTCACTGATGATGACAACGTTCTGTTAGCAGTGCACACGAAGCGCACTGCTGTCGACAAGGATGAATCAGAAAAAGAATTGCTGCTGACTCGCGAAGCGGTTGTCTGCTTTGTTTAAGACTCTATTGCAGATGTAATAGACAAGCAGAAAAGAAACGCAGAAAAACATGGAAGAGCAAATGTTCTTTCATTTGATAAACGAGACCTAGTTTTACTGTCGACAGTTAATCTACCAAAACACGCAGTGACAAACGTGGGCAGCAGTAAATTACTGCCCAGGTACATCGGTCCATTTCGTGTGTTGCGCCAAATGGGCAACGCATACACGATTGAAATGCCCCGTAAGATGCGTACGCATCCTACGAATTACGTCGGTCGTCTCCGCACGTATTATCAGTACGAGCCCGATTCGAGATGCGAAGAACACCTCCGCGGTCGAGAGCCGAGACCACCTACGAGTGGTCCCATTTCAACGAGCCAGTCTGGTCGACCAGCGAAGCGACCTGCCGACGCAGCTGAGCGATCTCCTGAAGACGATCGTTCGAACGATCGTGCGTTATGGAATTGTAATTATCCCTTACAAGATCCTCAAGCCTATAACTCCTATTCCGTTCATGAGCCAGGTCATCTTGCAACCGTTCCGTTACACAGTTCAGCTCCTGAACATCAAGATGATCTGGCCCTCGAGCCGGATCAGGTGATCCCGCCACCACCGCATCCTTTGGTGGACTCAGGCGGTGTTCAACGCTTTCTTGTGGAGCGTATTTTGAACCACCGCGACGTGAGTGGCTTCCGGACGAATTACCTCGTCCGCTGGCATTGCTATTAACCGGCGTGGGACAGCTGGGAGCCTCGTGCCCAGCTGATTGTTGATGTCCTGTGTCTCGTCGAGCAGTATGACGAAACCCACCCGCTGCGTTTAAAAAAGGGCCTTCGGATAACGACGTCCCCGAACGCGAGTACATGGATTGCACGATTTTAATTCCTACGGCCATCTCGGAAGAGATGCACGCCCTCCAGTAGGGAACATTAGGAAGTTAGGCCTCCCTAGGGGCATTATTCGAGTTGTCCAGGCAACCTGGACACGAAGCGCCCCACGAGAGACAGTGTAATCCTGCCTCTCTTGAAAGCCTGTGCAACTTGTATCGCGCCCCGACTGGGTTGTGCTTCTCAAACCTGATGCGAGCTGCATCAAGTTTGGCGAGCCAGGCCTCACGGCCAATGCACTCGATATTATGGATGAAGGCATTCCATCCTTGCACCAAGGCCTTGCCGTCTCGAACACGGCTGCCTTTGTACCACCGATGTTTGAAAAACGCATCGGTGAAGAACTCTTCCTCAGCACGAATAGTTTCCGTGCTGGATTAGGTGGGCAAATCTTCCTACAATCGAACAACAAGATTTGATCTCGATCGGTAGTCATACCGGCTAACCGGTCCAACTCTTTGGATGACGGCATCCAAGGAGACTCCACTTGAGGAGCGTGGCGCAGGACATTTTGGTCCCTGGCCTCTTGATTGGTGCCAGCATGAGCATGAGAACTGGCATCAGTGTCACCCCGATTCCTTGAGTTACTTCGCTCGTGGTGACGCATAGGTGCATCACCACCTTCCCCACGCGTCCTATCGCTGAATGGACTTGTGTGAGGCGGAGATTCATCAGAACAATCACTCGATCCGAAGATCTCGGACATGATACCGCCGCGTTGACCAGAGCCAGTCCACCTGGCTCTTGCCGTGTCCGCCCCGGATGATCCGAAGGAGTGAGGAGTCGCCTTCGAGTCGGATACATCATCCAAACCGCCAAAATAGATGAGCTCTATTCCAGACTCATCTGGACAACGATTTGCGCTACCCGCTGCAGACGCAGCGGATGTACCTGTCGCACGTGGTGACTCACCACGTGGACTGCTCACATCAGCAGGCGACGAATCACCTACTGCTGAGATTTGAGAAGTACTCTGTCCGTCTACAAGCATGCGTGCAGCCGCCTTTCTTGCTGCTGCAGTAGCAACTCGCTTGGGTCTTAAAACCATGCGTTGGAGTGGCAAAAGAATGGAATTCGACCAACAAGTGCTCCCCTTCCCAGAGTGATCCAACAGTGGTCACTCTGTACCAAACAGTTAATCTCAATTAACGGGTAATTGATGGTTAAGGGGGGGATGATGTAACTGGGGTAGCCCGTTACAAGAAATTGACACAAAACAAGGTCAATCGGAATTTTGTCTAGCATGACAATATTCTACCTATATTATCCGAGATGGATAATATTGAAGGAAATTTGTCCCCTTTTAGGATTACATGCATGCGCTGCTCCAAGATTGGTTGATACGAGACATGTCAACCATAGATTACCATCAATCACTGCTAGACGCGCGCAATGAGTGGTGAGCAGGTTGTCGTCATACGACGACGTAGTTTAGTATTGTTAAATAAAGACTGAAGTTTTATTGATAGCTTAGCTACATTAAATACACCTCTATTTTTACCCTTACTTGAACGTGTCGTTTAAGTAGATTAGCTTCCTCTGCACGTGCTAGCGTACGTGAAGTTTCGTGGCATCCAAACAATGAGTGCCCCGTTACAAGGCGTGCTGTCTTGATGTTTGGTCGGGTCCATTAATATCGCTACACCCCCAGTCTTGCCACGACTCAGACTTCAGTAATACGTCATCGTGTGCCGTGTCTCTTTCTGCACAAATTGTACGCCTTAGATGGTCCGCCATGCGTCAGCAGCCTGATGTAATAATCTGTCAAAATTATTTTTTGTCCCTTGCGGACCCCAAAGCACAGTCTCGTGGCGTTTACCTTTATACTTCCACACTCGCATCCATTTATGATGGTCCCCTTTCTTGATACAACGAACATATTTGAACGGTACAATTTGGCAGCTTGCCGGCGGCCTGGCCAGTTCGAAGAAAGTTAGGGTTTTAATACAGATGTGTTACTGTCAGGTGTTTCGTATAGGTATCGTGCTGCCGCTCTGAATGGCGGTGGCCGGGTCTTTATTTACAACTCGATGCCCTCAGTCACAATGAGTCCGTTCGACGAGCTCATGAGCTAGCGACTGCTCGATGAACGTATAAATCATTCATACCTCTTGTCTTCACGGGCTTATCGGAAGGATCAAACGTGGTCGGCGCCCGATCTTTGAGATGTTGCCGTAGTCGGTCCGAAATTTCACCGTCAGCCCCCGCCGTGTAACCTGTTAGTGACTTGATTACGTCATTGCGCCAACTTGCACAGATGAAATGTCGAGCAAATCGGCGTTTGTTCTGGACATCGCAAGATGCAAGAGACCGACTTCGCTGTAATCACGAGCGCGCATTTTTTTCCAATCGTCCGCGTTGTCGATCAGCGGAGCTAAAAATTTTCTGTGAATTTGCGTGTTGTACGATTTTTCCAGGCATCGAGTCATGCGTTCGTAGCGCTATCGGTAATTTGGTGGCAATGTAGCCACCAGTACATGTAGTCTCGTCAGCCAGCTGGTACCCAGCCGGCTGTCCACACTACTAGCACCTCGTGTCCAAGTGCATCTTACAAGGAAGCGTGGTACAGGAAGACTTGCACGAGTAGCATTAGCCAGTCCGGGTCCTCGTTTGTCGTGCGTCGCCTGTCTTTCGTGCTGATCTGGAGCGTTTAAGATATAACCGGGGTTTGCTCCGGCCAAGCCGCGTCGATATAAATCGACATGTCTTGCCAGGTCCCGGCGTTGATCAACGGCACCTCTACGTGAGACGAACCTGTACCAGCCCTCGTTGAGCAGTTCGGGTTAGTACCTAAAACTCAATCATTCTGGAGTGCTAACAGATCCCTCGGTTTCAGTCGCTTATTAATCCCCATTGCGCGGTTTGGTCAGCAGCAACTAGCTGGAGGGGCGCAGGGTGGGGACCGATGGTCAGCAAGCCCTGTACCCGGGAAGCGTCGGGCTTTCTAGCTACTAATGCGTCATCGGTAATGTCTTAACGAAATTTCTCAGATTCAGCATGTATAATTTGGTCCTAATTGGGCTCCTTGGGGTGGAATGCACTCTGCTTTCGGAAAAAGATATTTCCACTACTCCAGGACGCAGGAGGCATTTTTTGTAGCTGGAGGACCTTAATGCTGGAGTATATGTCATATCTGCGCGCGCGCAATATGCTGCTGATCAACAATCGCAAACTTGGAAATTGTTGGCATGATAACGTTAAGGAGTGCAGGAAAGCGCTGGGGTCAGTGGGAGCCGAAGATCTGTTCAATCGTCGAGAAAAGATTGGGGGACCGTAACACACGATAATCCACTCGGAGCTCACTTAAGAAGTCTTCCTGTGGCCCATCAGCCTTGAGATCAATATGATCGCTGTACCTGCTCTCCTCGACGGTGCCCAACCCGTCTATAATCGGATTTTATGGGTAATCATCCATGTCATCCTTCACGTCAACATTTGACACCGCGGAATAGCTCAGTATTCGACTGGCCAGGTCATTAAGCACAAATTTAGGATGGAGTATTGGTACCTCTTTGATGTGAGCAAAAGCCGAATAATGGTAGTGAAATAACGCAACAAACTAGGGTGCCAGTCGCTCATCCTGAAGCATGTTCATGGCAGTTTGTTGAAAGCATTTCGTCACGGTGAGGACTAGCTGTTATACTGATCCCAATTTTTTCTGACGGATGAATAAGCTCAGGCTAAAGAGGCAGCATCATCAGGAATTGTCGAAATATACCCCTTGCGATAGTACAGAAATGAATAGCCGTAAGAAGATTGCCGCAAGTCCGGAAATCTCACATCCACCCCTGAGTGAATAGGATTTTGGGCCAACCGGGTCGAGGGGCCTTTCGCGTATTCCTCCAGGTATCATTTGAGTTACCTCTTTGCGAGGATATGTCCATTCTTTACCGGCCCCATTGTACGCAAACAAGTTACACGACTCACGTGTCGTACAAAAATTGCCAAATTAAATGCAGTTGTCCGGTATGTTTTACTCCTCAATTGACGCAGACAGTTGCAGCAGCCCAGAGATCATCCTGACCTTCCGGGTCTTCTTCATACAGAGATTGCACGAGGTCTAAAGCCAGACAGTTTCCTTTTGCAGCGTTGTGACATCCCGAAGCCAAAGCAGGTTAGCCGTGTCATCAACCGAACGCAACGGAGGGTCACTTAGTCAATCGGACTCGACCAGAGCACGCTATTGATGACTTTTTATGAGTGAATGCAGCAGAAGAGATCCTTTGTAACGGGGTGAATCGTTACATAACAATTTACAAGAAATTGTCAATAGAATATAACTATAAAAGTTGTATTCTCCAAATATTTTCATAAGGACAAATATTCTCAGAATATTGTCATAAGGACAAATATTCTGCAGCACTTACGAGTAGTTCCTGATTGGTTGATATAGGTAATTATATCAACCAACGAAGACGCGCCACGACAGACGCACGCAATGAGTGGTGAGCAGATAGTTGATATGCACATTTGTATTTAGACATAGTTAGATGAAGATAAATAGTGATTTATTGCAGACATTAACTATTATAAATACGGTTCTACTTTTTACTTTAACCAAGTACTCGCTTCTTCTTACCGTCTTCCTCTGTACGTACCAGTGTACGTGAAGCTCCAAGGCACCGCCTTATTCTGTCATCAGAATAAGTAGCTTGTACTGTCACCAGTACAAGCTTCAGGGTGCCCCGTTACACCTGGTAGCACTTCCTAGTCCGTCCAAGGACCACGTTCACATCCAACATGAATATGTTGGATGATGAAGATGACCAAAGCTTTCACGCTACGCGTGACGGCTACTCCCATTTGAGCGATGTCGAATGGGATGCGGTTGAACGGATGGGT